GTATCCTGCTACTTTGCTGAATTCATTTATTGGTTCTAGTAATTTCTTGGTGGAATCTTTGGGGTTCTCTGTGCAGAGTATCATGTCATCTGCAGATAAAGACAGTTTTCCTTCTTCTTTTCCAATTTGGATGCCTTTTATTTCTTCTTCTTGTCTGATAACTGTGGCTAGGACTTCCAGTTCTATGTCAAAAAGCAGGTGGTTACATAAAAGGGAGCACCAGTTAGACTGTCATCTGACTTCTCAACAGAAACATTTCTGGCCAGAAGGGAGTGGTGTGAAACATTCAAGGGGATGAAAAGCAAGGACCTACAACCAAGGCTGCTTTACCCAGCAAGGCTATCATTTAAAATCAAAGGAAAAATAAGGAGTTTCCCAGACAAGAAAAAGCTAAAGGTGTTTGTTATACACCCAATCAGTACTGCAACAAATGCTAAAGGGCTTGCTTGAAGAAGAGGAAGAAGAAGAAAAAGAGGAGGAGGAGGAAGAAGAAGGAAAAAAAAACAGAGGAAAACAGTCTAACAATAAAATGGTACGACATATATATCTATCAATAATCACCTTAAATGTAAATGGCTTAAATGCTCCAACCAAAGACATAGCGTAGCTGAAAGGATAAGAAAACAAGACCCATATATATGTTGCCTCCAAGAGACCCATCTCAGATCAAAAGATACACACAGACTAAAGTAAAGGGATTGAAAAACATATTTCATGCAAATGGAATGGGAGGGAAAAAGCTAGGACAACAGTTCTTATAGCTGACAAAATACACTTTAAAACCAAGGCTATAGTAAGAGACAAAATAGGACACCAGATAATGATAAAGGGAGCAATCCAACAAGAGGATATAATCCTAGTAAACATTTATGCACCCAACATAGGAGCACCTAATAGGTAAAGCAAATCTGACAGATGTAAAGAGAGAAATTGACAGAAATACAGTCAAAGGGATTTTAACACCCCTTTGTCTTCTATGGATAGATCTTCCAGACAGAAAATCAACAAGGAGACAGTGGCATTAAATGACACACTAGATCAAATGGATTTGATTGACATCTTCAGAGCATTTCATCCCAAAGCAGCAGAATATACAAAATTTTCAAGTGCACATGGAACATTTTCTAGGATAGATCACATAGCTAGAAAACAAGTCTTAATACATTTAAGAAGATTGAAATCATATCAAGCATCTTTTCTTACCACAATGCTATGAAACTAGAAATCAATCACAAGAACATTGAAAAACACACAAAGACATGGAAGCTAAATAACATGTTATTAAACAATGAATGGGCCAACCACAAGATCAAGGAAGAAATCACAAGATGCCTTGAAACAAATGAAAATGAGAACACAACAATCCAAAATCTGTGGGACATTGGGAAAGCAATCCTAAGAGGGAAATTCATAGCATTACAGGCCTATCTCAGAAAAAACAAACAAAAAAAGAACAAGAAAAAACTCAAATAAATAATCTAACTTTATACTTAAAGGAACTTGAAAAAGAGAAACAAAGCCCACAGTCAGTAGGAGGAAAGAAATAATAAAGATCAGAGCAGAAATAAATAGTCTAAAAAAATGATACAAAAAATCATTGAATCCAAGAGCTGGTTCTTTGAAAAGATAAACAAGATTGACAAACCTTTACTAGACTCATCAAGAAAAAAAAGAGAGAGGACCTAAATAAATAAAATCAGAAATGAAAGTGGGGAAATAACTGACACCAAAGAAATACAATGGATTGTAACAAAATATTATGAACAAGTATATGCCAACAAACTGAACAACCTGGATGAAATGGATAAATTCCCAGAAACATACAACCTTCCAACTAAATCAGGAAGAATCAGAGAATCTGAATAGACAGAATACACCTAGTGAAATTGAAGCAGTAATCAAAAAAACTCCCAACAATCAAAAACCCTGGACCAGATGGCTTCACAGGTGAATTTTACCAAATATTCTGGGACGAACTAACACCTCTCCTTCTCAAACTATTCCATAAAATTCAGAAGGGAGGAAGGCTCCCAGTTCATTTTATGAGGCCAGCATTATCCAATTTCTAAAACCAGATAAAGACACTACAAAGGGAGAAAATTATAGGCCAATATCACTGATGAACACAGACACTAAAATCCTCAACAAAATATTAGCAAGCCGAACACAGCAATGCATCTAAAAGGTCATACACCATGATCAAGTGGGATTTATTCCAGGAATGCAGGGTTGGTATAACATTTGCAAATCAATAAATGTGATTCACCACATAAACAAAGTGAAGGATAAAAACCTCCTGATCGTATCAGTAGATACAGAAAAAACATTTGATAAAATCCAGCACCTATTTATGATAAAAACTCTCAGCAAAATGAGAATAGAGGGAACATACCTAAACATAATAAAGGTCATTTATGACATTGAGCATCATGCTCAATGGGCAAAAATTACAAGTATTCCCCTTAAGATCAGAAACAAGACAGAGATATCCTCTTTTACCTCTTTTATTCAACATAGGATTCCTTACAATAGCAAAGTAGCTTGCTTGTCTCAGCTTGTGCCGCTGAAGCACTTGGCTTAGGTATACTGTCGTGGTAGCTGGAAGTTCCAGCCCTAGATTGGAATCACTTAAGACCTCTTGTTCCTGCAGGGGTTAGCAACTCAGCCGGAGGAGGTGGAATCCCTCTATGACACTCTGAAACTGAGGTTCCAGGGGTAAGCAACTGGGGCCTCAGACAAATGGTTTTTAATTGAAGTGAATAATAATAAAGGAAAATTTTTAAAGAAAAATTGCCTATAATTCCATTATCCTCACATAATTTTAAGCTTTTTGCATAATGCTCTCTGTTAAAACCTTGATTGTATACATACATACATACATATATATAACTTAATTGAAATAGAATGTGCATATTCATTGTATGTGAACACTTAATATATCATTTGTCTTATTTTTTTAATAGCACACAAAAGTTAATGTGTGACACTGATGTGATTTTGAAAAGCATTTATGTAGGATTTCTAGTTTCTCTCCTAAAATCGGTTGTATAGACTTGTGGTTTCTGAAACAGTAGTCAGTATCCAGCCACACAGGACTAATGAACTTATGAAATGGGACTAGTCTGAAATGAGATGCGCTATGAGTGTAAAGTACCAATTGGATTTTGAAAAAACAAAGAAAATATCTCATGAATAATTTCAATATTATTTACATGCAGAAATAATACTTTGATATGTTGGGTTAAATATATTATTAAAATTAACTTCACCTTTTTTTTAAATTCTTTTAATGTGACTTCTAGAAAATTTTAAATTACATATATGGCTTGCATTTTATTTCTATTAAACTGCACTGGTCTGGATTAGCATATATAGCTATGAGATCTGAAAATCAGAAAAGAAAACCGCAACTAGGGAATGGTTAAATCATCTTTGGTATGTGTACTAGGTTCTACATTATACAGCCTTAAAAATTATAGACATGGATGAGGTGGCAAAAAATATATATATGTAATGTTATATTGAGGAAAGAAAGTATGATATAAAGTTATAGAAATGTTAAAAAGAAAAGAAAAGAAACCTTCCCTGGCTAGTGTGGCTCGGTAGATTGAGCACAGGCCTGAGAACCGAAAGGTCACCAGTTCAATTCCCAGCTGGAGCGCATGCCTGGGTTGTGGGCCAGGTCCCCAGTTGAGGATGGTGCAAGAGGCAGCCAACTGATATTTCTCTCCCTCTCTTTCTCCCTCCCTTCCCTCTCTCTAAAAATAAGTGAATAAAATGTTTTAAAAGTAATAAAAAATAAAAAACCTAAGAGAAACTTTCCAGAATGCTAAAATGCCAACTAGAAATATGTTCAGGAGGTGAAGTTTTCTTTGTTTTCAAATTTGACAGTGCCTTTATGTCTTTTTCACACTGGAATATATTAAAGCCATAAGACTTTTTATTTAAATAAATTACTGGACATCACTACGATTATTTAGCCCCTTTATACTCCTCCCCGCCTGCAGTCACCACACTGTTGTCCATGTCCATGAGTCCTTTTTCCTTTTTTGCTTGATCTTGCCACCCCTTAACCTCTCCTCCCCATAGCTGTCATCTGCTCTCCATCCCTGAGTCTGTCCCCATTTTCCTTGTTAGTTCAGTTTGTTCACTAGATTCCACATGTAAGTGAAATTGCATGGTATTTGTCCTTCTCTGACAGGCTTACATGACTTAGCATAATGTTCTCAAGGTCCCTCCATGCTATCGCAAATGGTAAAATTTTCTTCCTTTTTAAAGCCCAGTAGTATTCCATTGTGTAAATGTCCAATAGTCATTTTATCCACTCATCTACTGGTGGATACTTGGGCTGTTTACATATCTTGGCCATTGGAAATAATGCTGCAATGAACAGGGACTGTAACTTCTTTAGTGAAAGGTATTTAAGCAGCTCTGTCTATTATTCTTGTGCATCTGGTTAATGCACCTTTGAACTGTGAGAAGTAATCCTGTTTTACTTCCAGACCCCTTGAAGGCATAGTCACACAAAAGGGAGCACATAATCTCGTTAACTATCCTGTACTTTGCTTTTTCCCACCTTCAGGTGATCTTTTTTTTTTTTTTTTTAATGTTCCCTCCTTAATTCCAAATGTGTAAAAGAAATAGCAAAACTGTCATTCTCCAGGAGCATTTGAGATCATGCTTCCCAACATGCCAGTTCGGCTCAGATACACTCATAAAATTCTCTACAGGTTTGGACATTTCTTAATTCTACAACCTTTTCTTCTACTGCTCAGTGGGAATGAGAAAAAGGGAAACTCCAAGAGACAGGATGGGTGACTATATATTGTATATGTGAAGGAATGGAGGAATGGGGGGGGGGCATTTACGCCTCTGAGCACTTTGAAAAATGTAAAGAAATAGAGAACAATTTAAATCCTTTAAAAAGAAATGGAGCTCTGAAAATGATTTGTGTTAAAATGTTGGATATTGCTAAATATTATGTTTTTCTTCATTCATAGATTAATGGTATTGCTATCTAAAGCTGAGAAATCATCAGAAGAAATCATGGAAATAATGCAAAGTTTAACTAGCATACAGGTTTGCTTTCTTTTGGCATATAATATTTTATATTTCTACTACCCCATTTGAAAATCAGAATAGAAAAGAAGCCCCAGTTTACAGAATCCAATCCAGGAGTTTGCAGGACATATGTTTAATTTACTTTTCATAGAAATTTATTTTTTTGTATGATCGCTAATAAACCATAATATTGTAGTAATATCTGGCTTTTTCACATTTAAAGGTAAATTTGTAGATTATATTTAGTCTTTCTAGTTAATAAATTGTTTTTATTCAGGCATTTAAGGCTCGCAATAGTCTACCTACCAGGAAATGTTAAATTCCCTACTATGGAGTTTTTCAGATTAAGTATTTTCACTAGATTTGTCAGGAATATTATATTTGAGGAGAACTTGACTCATTTAAAACAACTTTCTTTTAGGCTTTGGAGGGCAACAGAAAGCTTGAAAATCTCATTGGTATCTCCTGTGGATCATGTTTCTTAAAAAGAGAGATGCAGAAAACAAAAGAACTAAGTAAGCAGACTATATGAGTTTACTATGGTGCCTCTCCATTCCTTGTTTGCAAAGTTAGATATAAATATTTTAATATTTTAAACTTTACAGATAAGCCTATTAATTTTTCCCAAATTTAATTTTGATAGACCTCTTTGTATGTATCACTACTGGGCATGTGATAGAAGTAGTAGAAGCCACATATCTTTTACCAGGTTATGTTATTTTAGGGATTCCTCTTGAATGTAAAGGGAAGGAAAGTACGTTGAAAACTGAAATTGGGCTTTTTTTTCTGTAGTGCTCATTTCTTTAAATAAGGTTTAATGTATTGCATTTTGTACTTGATATCTATACCTGTGCATATATATTACTTAGAATTATTTTTGATAAATCTGTCTCTTCCAAGATGAGAAATTATTCACATTCCATGTTAATTTTTAACATGAGATTTTTTTTCTTCTAGTGACAAAAGTAACAGAACAAAAACTGTTTGAAAAGAAGAGCTCAGAACTTTCTAACAAAGGTAAAAAGTTGTGCTTTAACTTATATAAAAAGATCCTTCCATCTCATTTTAATCCTTAAAACTAATGATTACGACTCTTTTAGTGTACTCTTAAAAGACAGGAATCTCAACTGAAATTGCATTTAGCAGAGGACTGTATCTGAGGAGCTCAACCTCCCTGATGACTGAACTTTTAAAATATCTTTTAAAGTATGTTTCCGTTTAAGATTTGATTTTTGCAGTTTTATTAAAAGTTCTTTTCAAGATTTATACAAATGGAGCGATGATGCAGTAATAAACAGCAGATTTTAATGGTGAATCAGCAGATTTAATGTTGAATCGGAAAGAGATGTAAAACACAAAGTTACTTTGTAACCAGTGCTCTGAGAACTTTGGGATCCTTAATGATGTTAGATACTGTTAACCTTTATGCCACTGAGCATTTTACAGCTTGCGTAACTAAATTAGCAGGGTTTAAGTTCTCAAACACATGCATATGAATGTCATTTAGCAATCTCTGCAAACAAGGTAGGCCTTGAATTGGGTAGCCATAGTTTAGTCTATCACTTTGACTACCGATAACAATCATTATTAAGGACCAGTAATTATTATGATTATTACTAGGATCAGCAGATCTTTACAGCAACTCTGCAAAATAGTTGTTGTTGTTGTTATTAATATTATAGATAAGAAACAAGGACACAGAAAATGTTGAGTAAACTTGCCCCAAGACACTGCTATTTTAGTGCCAGAGAAGGGATTCCAACTAAAGAACATTCTGACCTCAAAAAGTATGATCTTTTCATTATACCATGTTGCTTCTTCCTAAAACAAATCAAATCATTCAGTCACCCCCGCTTTCAGATTCTAACTTGAGACCACTGAAACTGGTTCAACCAATATATTATTTTAGACTGTGTTTAGAATCTTTAACAGCTGGTGATGAATTTGCAGAGGGAAGCGCTGGGATATTCTCTGCAGATCAGTTCCCAACGCCAACTAAGTCATGGCAGGAGCTATGGCTAGTCTCCTCCAAAACGCATGTGGGAGGGGAACCGAGCAGGCTTCCTGAGCTGTTCAGTAGAGCAACTAACTTCCACTGTGACCCCAAGCATTTGAGAAGGCTTGAGATGTCTTCTCTCCTTTGCTGTATAACTTGATGTATGGGTTTCAGTGGTTTCAGTCTCTCCAAACTTGACAAGCTTTAGAGGATCATAACAAGAAGTTGGAATGTTTATTATTTCCCAGAATACAGTTAGACGAACTCTTGAGTCTATGTATTCTATGCCAATTGTGTGGTTTTCTTTTAAATCTGTAATTTCCTATAGCTAATTAGAATTAGGCTTTACATAGTTAGCTTTTGCCAGCAGTTTTGAGAAATGAGATAAGGAAAATTGTAGAACAAATAAGTGAATTGTCACGGCTAAAAATTAATAAGGAAAAATTTTCTGAAGGTATTGTTTCCTTCCCTAAGCATTTATTAAAACATTAAAGTTATTTCCATGTGTTAAAACAATTCTCACCTTTCAGTTTTCCAGTATATACTGATTCCTTGTATGTTTATACATGATCAATCTTAAATCTATTTTCTAATATCTTAGGCATTAAACTGACTTGCCTGTAACCAAGTTTTCCCTAAGGACTAAATATTTCTTCATGCATAGAGAGGGCTGTATCACTAAATTATGTTTTCAAATTTCTAATTATCATTGATTATTTGTTTTGTTTTAAATGAAAACTTAACTAATATAGACATATGTTATATATTAATATATGTTGTATATACTAGAATATATGTCATCTTCCATTTCTGCTTCTTGACAAGAACTACATTATATTTTTATATTTCTTGAAGTATTTAAACCTTCATTACTTTTTAACTACCTTGAAGTAATGCCTGAAAAATAGATTGAAGCTTATTTTCTTTATTATTTGAATTTGAGTTACATGTTTTTTACTGGGTGCCCTTCCCTCTTTCTCTGGATCCTAATGGTATGTGTACTTTTTTATTTTGGTGACGTTTTTTGTTTTGCTTTTTGGTTAAAGACGGTGAACACCAACACATGCACATATATATGTAAATTTTTGCAAAGTTAATAACTTTAACCCCCTCCTAGTCATACATTCATTTTAAGAGGACTTTTGTTAGTTTTTCTCAACATCTCAAACTAGTTTGCTTTATATGTTTCTTATTTGGGGGTTTGGCCTTGTCATAGAAATTTCTGCTTTATTCTTTTCTTTTAGTATGCTGGTACCTAGAGTTGTCTAAATGTAAAAATATGTTGTGAATCTTCATAATATTAGAAATTATATAGTTAAGAATTATGCAATATACAAATAAACCACTTAGTATGTATTGGATTTCATTTATTAGGGAATTATGAAATGAAAATAAATGAATTACTTGTTTCACCGTCAAAAGAATGTCCAAGTGGACAACGCCAGGAGAATTCCAACATTTGTGCTATAGCTGCCCTTCAAATTGGTCCCTTGCTTGTATATAATTTTTTAAATTTCAGTGCTAGCTTGTTTAGCATCATCTGCAGTCTTTATTACAGGCAGAGGAATATACTTGAAATAACACTATTGTTTTAAATAGACATCTGACACACATTCTTAAGGCTTCATATAACTTATTCAAAAAAAATTTAAAGGTACACTGAGATTTTTACAGTTTTCAGAAGAGCTGGACCTTGCAAATCAGGGAATGCCTTTATAGAGTGTATAAATGAAAGAGGATATCCTCCACTAACTACACATTTCGTAAACAAAGGAAGGCTTGTTGGTGTTTTTTTTTAAGTTACTTAGGAAGTAAGCTTAACTTCACTTTCCTTAATAATATTGGCTTTATGACTATTAGCAAAATAATGAAATGAAAGGTTCTTTTTGTTATATTTGGATGTGAATTTTCATAATTATTTTTAATTTGTTATGCTGAACATTTCAAACATATGACCATTCAATGGGTTGATAGAGATGGAATGTCACATTATCATCACATGGTGAGGCATGAAATTTATTTACTTTATATAATCAACCTCAACTTAAAACAACTTGATACAAATATTCCTAAGTCAATAGGTGGCATTATATGGTATTTAGTACTTTCCTTTTTTCTGGAGATATTAGAAAATACCATCATTGTCTATCTATGACTAGTCCTTCCAGTAAACAAAATATTTTTGAAAAGAATGTAAGCAAATTGTAGAGCAGTTGCCAAGATATGAAATCTAGACACTTAGCTTCAGTCCAAAACATATTTTATCATTTTTGAGAATGATTGTGTAGGTTGTAGTATGCATATTTTAAATGAAATGTTAACCATCTGAACTTTACATTGTTCAAAAAAGTTAATTGTTTCAGCTGTTTGTAATATAACATATTTCAGAATTTCTGTGTCTGGCCTAAAAAAAGAAAGCACAGACTATAATGTTTCTTTTTTCTTTAGCTAACTTACCATCTTCTTACATTGCAAAATTCACCTTAGTTATAGGATTTTAAAGTCTTCAAATTTTTGGACTCTAGAACAAATTTTCAACTCCTTCCATTCTAAGACTATGAAATAGTTTGATATTGCCTTTTCATTCTAACCACCCACTAAAGTATTTTTCAACTTAAAAATATGTTGTTCTTTCTCCCACTCAGTCTTGAAAAAGTATTCATCATATCAGCTAAATAATTTTACTGCTGGAAGACTACTACCCTGTTAGTTTTTTTCTGTTACATGTTAACATTTAACAATATCTTTTTTCAGATAAATTATTTCAGTTTTAACAGCACTGAGGTTTGAAGTTTAGACCTTAAGAGTTTTAGATGAAACAACCAAAATTCCCCCTATGCTTCACCATTCTGTCTGAAGATTTAAAAAATGGAGATAATAGTTTTGACCACACAAATATGCATTAATGTACAGTTGTAGTCCTCAGCTCTTTTTAAGGTTCAGCTGGGATGTATGCTGTGTGCAGGTTATACCTTTCATCTTAATAATGTTAATGTTCTTGTTTTACATTTTCAATCACTGTTTTGGGGGTACATCTTGACTGTTTACTTGAGGTCTGTCTAGGACTTATGGAAAAACAAACTGCTTTACTTCTTTTCAAACCCTTTTAAGGAATATTTTTCATGATTTAAAATTTTTTATACTTTACCAGAATTGTGATAATTTTTATTTTAAGTAATCAGTAAAAAAAATTTAAACCATAGACTTGAACTCATTTAATAGCAATTATGTGTTTAAGAGGTATAAATAACTTGCTATCAGACATTACAAATATCCAGGTGCTCTGTATGTGCTGATGACAACAAAATTGAAACGAAAGACTGTAATAATTCTGACTGGTTTTCTCTGCAGAAGATATTGATTATTTGTGTGTGGTGAGAGATTTGGAAAATTCAATTAAAGGAGTTGTGCAAAGGTTTCATAAATTTTCTTTCTACAGCGTGTACACAGACATTGTTGCGTATTAAATCAATGCAGCACTTCACAATATATTTTCTTTGAAACATAAAAATAAATAACATTTAAACAGTTCTGCTTACTACAGAAACAAATTTTATTTTCTGTGAAGCATTTAGTCATGTGCTATCACTGACTCATACACATTTGCCAGCTGTAACAAATTTTATAGACATTTTCTCCAGAGACATATCTCACATACTATGAATTTTTAAATGAGCAAATGGTGAAGAAGGGATGTCAGCAATATAAAAATTGATCAGCTAAAAGATAAAAGCATAAGTAAAGAGATTTGTATGGTAGTCTTAATAGGTTTTATTAAATAAAAATACTATAAAAAGACAGTAATGAACAGACTGAAGACTAACTGTTCTTGAGGTGGAGAAAAATTATTCTGGCACATTTAGTAGAAATTGGTTTTCTGTCACCCGACAGGTGAACATATTTTTTTTTTTTCATTTTAACTCTTAGAATGGAAAAGCACCTCAAAAAGGAGTTAAATTCTCTAAGTGGTTTGTATATTTTAAACACATACACATACTAATAAAGTAGATATTTATAGTGTTATGTAGCTAACTATATAGTTTAAAGCAGGACTTGTATAATAAGTAAATGTTAAGTGATTTTTCCTTTAGCTCAGACCTCACAGGGGAGGAAAGTAGTCATTTTCATTCATACTATTCACACCATATGCTAGACTCTCTTTTGGGACTCCAGGCCTCTCTGCTGCTTATTTCTTTACAGGGATTGCATTCTTCTCTGTCTAGTAAACTTCCCATTCTTTAAGGTTAATCTCAGATGTTCTATCCTCTGTGAAATTCTCTCCAGCTCACCTAGGTGAAGCTAAATTGCTTCATCTCTACAATTCTTGTCTGAATGTTTATAAATGGGTCATGTTGAAGTGTGGTAGTATATTGTAATTGTCTCGTTACAGGGCACTTGCTGGGCTCCTCCTTAGCAAACAAAAGTCTTATCTCCGTATCTCTATATTGGAGCCCCGGAGCCTACTATAGAACCCACATAGAAGGTCCACAATCCATAGTTAGTGAATGAAGAAAAACAAATGACTGCCATAAGAGTTTTTAAAGGAATTACCTAAATATTTTCAAATACTTACAGATCGCTCTCTCCTTACATGACTCACCCACTTGGTATTTGTTGAATACCTGCTATGAGCCAGGCCACTGTTCTAGCATTGGATACACTAGTTAAGAAGATGGACAGAGTCCTGCCCTCAGGATTATAGACTCTAGCACAGAAGGAACTATGATAAATCATAAGCATACATTATTATAAGTCTCTTGGCAGTTTTCATTCTAAATTTTTAAAGGCACACTCTAAAACAGAATCAGGCAAATCAGAAGGCTGTTGAAACAAGAATTTATAGTCTCAAAGCTGCTATTTATAATGTAAAATAAGTTTATGTTTGGGTTCTTTAATTTCATTTTGATTCAGCATTTATCCTGCAACATATACTGTAACAACTTACAATGAACTGTTTCCTCAAAAAATATTCTTTTTTTTCTTTCATATAGAGTTACGTCATCTTGACAGCTATGAATTCCTTAAAGCCATTTTAAATTGAGGTACTGTTTCACCTTTCTAATTAAGTATAGCCTTGTTAAATTTTACTGCTTTGTTCTGGTGGGAACATTTTATCTAAATCGTCAAATTCGGTGGTGTCTGTCTACAAAGAAAATAGTACCATGAGCTTTGAAGATTTAGTTGAAATTACATTTAATCTGCTCATATAACAATAGGAGGGCAGTCCGTCAAAGATCTGTGAGTTGGAGACTCGTTATAAAAGAACACTGTTGATCTGGCAAGGCTAGTTTTAAAAATCAGAGTTGGCGTATTTATAAGTAAGTATAAAGAGGACCCTTAATTAAGCACCTTTAGTATAAATAGCTAACTAGATATTGACAAGCGGGTTATAGTTTCTATAGGACACATCTGACTAAACAAGATAAAACAAGTCTATGAATTTACAAATGTGCTAAATTGATTAATTAATTACATATTAACTAGTCGTACCTTTTCTTGAGAACAGTTCATGTGGATTCAGAAGACAAGTAAAATATATATATTTATAAATAACTTAATAACAGCTAGCTAGGAGCAATAGGAGTCATGATGTGATATTAGTGTTTACTGTACCTGTAATTGAAGGTTCACATTAAGAATTAGCATTATCTCATTCTTAGTTGCTTCAGTATTAATTTTTCATAGAGGCTAACCAGATATTGCCTGCTATCTCTTAGAAATAATGCAAAATGAAAGAAGTCTATTCTATCCTGAAAATAAATTTCTTTGGAAATGTTATCTCAGGTGATTAATATTAGCTTCACAACAAACTAGATTTGCAAAGCATCTCATATAGAAAATTATGTCATTTTCATTCATTAGAATGTTCATTCTGTCGTACACAACAAATAATAACTTATAATAGCAGCTAACATTTATTGAGCCTTTCAGTATGCCCAGCACTTTATACATATCCCATTTAACCTTCACAACAACTTATGTGAAGTAGATATAGTTATTGTCTTTATAGGTAAGGAAACTGAAAAACAAAGAGTCTAAGTACCTTGTTTCAGAATCACCTAAGAGGCAGCCAGGATAGTAACCTGAGCAGTTGGCGCCAGTCTGTGCTTTTGCCCGCTATACAGCAGTAATCTGGGAATGTCAGGTTTCACTACTGGTCACAGTTTTAGGTCCTAGCACATAGTAAGGCTATAATAACATGCATACACATATTCATGATAGGGTTAAATGTGTTTCAGAAAATTTGGAAGAATTGGGGTCGACCTACCAGTCCATTTCCCTTTTAGTGGGAAACAACAGAGAGAACAGTGAAATGAAACTTGACGCGCCTTTGAGCAAGCTCCCTTACTTGGAAGCAGCTCCCTGGGTTCCTTTAACAGTGTTTTCTTCTCATTTTGGGTACTCCCTTCATGATCTCGTCCATCCCCTTGACTTTAGTTTTGCCTTAGTGTATACTGTTTCCAGATCTATTTGTGATCCTCCTCCTGATGTAAACCCACATCTCAGCTGCTACGCGTTGCCCCCCAAGTACGCCGATTTCATCCTCCTCCCCCAGTTGTTCTCTAGTCTCCCTTTCTAGCACTTACATTCATCTAATGTTAAGGCTCAACACCTCAAAATTCTTGTCTCTTTTCTATCCCCACATCCAAATTCCTGCCATGTCATATCATTTCCAAAACTGTTCACCTCTCTTTTCCATGCCTATTACACTAGTTTATTTCTTCATTGCCTCTCACCCAGATCCTCATCATCCCCACTGTAACCTGCCTCTCTGCCCTTTGGTCCTTTATAGCCTGTCCTGCTACCGGACAAATTATGCTTTAGAAGGTATCACTATACCGTATTCACAATGAAACCCAAATTTACACTGACATTCAGACCTCTACCTGATCTGACCACAATGTGCCTTTCCAATATGCCCTGGTGCATCAGTCACTCCAGATTACTTGCCATTCTCCAAACACATTCCTCAGAAAGTGCCTTTCTCGTTTCTTTACTATCGTTCTTGTCTTCTCTTCTTGACATACCATTCCCCCAGCATTGTCAAAATTTTGCCCATCTTTCAAAACCTGCTTATAACTTACCTTACACTACAAGGCTTCCTCAGATTCCTCTCTTCCGTGTTTTCTCATTGCTCTTTTGTGCATTTGTTATAGCTGCCCAACTGGCATGACTAAGGGAAGGTATTAAATGCCCTGATTTTATCCTAGAAACTTCTATCAGTTATCGTGTTGATACCACAGTGGACAACTTCTATCTGCACATCAGCTCCTGCCTTCAGTCAGGGGAACCACCTTATACAAATTTACTCCAAGAGCCTTTAAAAAATGAAGCTTTTATAAATAATGTAATAATGAGAGACACTGTCAGTAAGGGAGCCAGCACACCCACAGGCCAGACTGTACCAGGACCAGCGAAAGGATGTGGGGGGAAAAGGCATAATTTGAGCTAATGTTAACGAGATATTGTAGGAGATGGTGGGGTGCTTTTTATCTAGAAACAACGTGGATAAATCACTTAGTTTACAAAAGTATAAACACAGCATGTGCATAATGCCAACCTTTTGAAACCTAGTAATCAAGCTAAGGAAACGAGATTTATATTATATATATGAAATAATAATACCAGGCAAGCTATGCTAGTGATACAAGTTCAGACCCTTCTTCTTTCCAGGGTTTTGGCAACGGAAAATTCAAAGAAGGATTGAGTCCAAAGAGGATCAAAATGTCAACTTGATTAGTGGTAGAGTTGATAACCTCCAATACGGCAGGCTGTCTGGTAGAAACCTGGGGACACTAATGTGGATTGTGCCTAAAGCGAAATGTGGGTGCTTCGTTCCCCGACGCTGAATCTCATTCTTGAGCCCTGTGTGCTCTCCTGAAGCTGAAGAGAAAGCTGTATCTTTGAAATAAACCCCATGTCCATGGGCATCTCCAACAGCAAGATCACAGACCTGCCTTATATGTTTTGTCAAAGATGAGAGATAGAGTGGGCTGGTCTCCTTACAACATGAACTTAAGAAGCAGAAAGGCCTATTGGACTTGAGAGTAGACAGTGAAAGGGAAACTGCGTAGTGGGGGAGAGTGTTGTGTAAGAATAGTAACGTGTCATATTAGTAGTCAAGTGCGGGCCAGTGTTCTGCACTTTGACCAAATGTGTCACTCTTCCACGGGGTGTAGAGAGCAAAAGAGTTAACAGAAGCTCCTTCCTCTTCAGACTGAGTATAAACATTCCTCTCCCAGTACCAATGAAGAATAAGCAGTAGTAAAGGAATACACAAAAGACATAGATCGCCTCAGGATGGAGTGATTAGATCACTAATTAAGGGTTCTTAGTCAGTTCCAGTTATTCCACTCTGCATTGTCTGACAGAGAGCCATCTGGATCCCAGTAATGGAAACTTCGTACTTTACTAGAAATTGGGAATTTGAAAAGTGAATAATTTTAATGGGCTGTGTAAACATACTAAGCAGAGAAAACATGAACAAAAAAGGCAGGAAAGCAGAATGATCGAGCAGCAGATTCCAGCCATGTCGTTGACAGGTGTGATCACCAGGCTCCTGAGTTCAGACTTCATTCATTAGGCAGAAGTGGGCCAGTGAAGGTGATTAGGGAAGGAGCAATCCAAAACATGTTTTAGAACCAGTAACTGTAGGAACAATAAGTCCTGTAAAAATACTACTCATAAACTGCATCACTGTATCTTTCATACCCCAGCTGGTGTAGCTCAGTGGATTGAGCATTGGACTGTGAACTGAGAGGGCTCTGGTTCAAATCCCTGTCAAGGCACATGACGTGGTTGTGGGTGAGGTGCCTGGTTGTGGGTGTTTAGGAGGCATCACATGTTGATGGTTCTCTCCCTCTCTTCTAAGCCCCCTTCCCCTCTCTCTAAACAAAAAAAATTTTTTAATAAAAAAATTAATTTATTTTCATTTGGGTAGAAACAGTATGGCAGCATAGAGATAACAAACATGCTGCTACTTCCTATGACGTATCTCACATTGATCAAAGTATTTATTTTTGCTGGATCCTAAATTTGGCCTCAGCATCTTTCCCACCACAGTTCTAGCAACCATGATGTTTCAATTGATGAAACATCTTTACAGGGCCTGGCATTGTAATAGAAAACAGGGTTTGGGTAAAATGTCCTGCACTATTACCTACTTAGCCTTGTGGCCTTAAACAAGAAACTTGGTTTCCCTAAACCTTAATTATAAAATGGGACTGATAACATTTACCTATGAGATTGTACAAAATAATTCATGCTTCCCCCTTAGTAACTATTTAATAAATCAGTCTTCTTCTCTGTAGTATTATCATTAGTTCTGATAACTGTGTATCAACAACCTATAAGGATATTAAGTGAACACGAGAGCTGCTTAGATCTCCTATTGGAATTGAGACTCTAATGAGAGTTGGCAAAAGTAGATTGTCTAGTTGGCAACTTATTTTATTATAGGACAAGAATATATGTAGACTCAAGAATAGCAACTTCTTCATAGCTGCGATGTAATCAAGGAAGGGGTATTTCAGGAGTGAATGGTCCACATGCACAATGGGAGCATATGCCATCAGTTGCCAATGACTATTTCTTTAAAAGGTTCCTTTCACACAAGGTTCCTAAGGTCCAATGGGCAAGAACTTCTACCACCACTAGGAGTCCCCAGAGGGACACAGTATGAATAGGAATGTCAGCAAATACTGTCTTTGGTGGGGAGGCGGAGGGCAGCTGTTGGAGGAAACACCTGCTGGAAGGCCCTTAAGGCTTATAGACAAAAGGCATGTAGATTTTGGTGTTTTCAATAGGTCGTTTAGAACACTCAGAAGCATGTCAAAATTCATATTCACATAAAGTGGAGAGTGCTAGTCAAAGTAGTCATATTGACAATTATTTCTGAAGGTAAATCTTGCATAGAATACTAAAAAAGAAGCAATTGAGGTCACTATTACCTAAACTAGGTATGATATTATATGGTAAATAGGTGTTTAAGTCATTTATGTCATGTATGACATGCATGTTAATTTGGAAACTAATTCTTGATGATTTAATAATATTCATCTTTTATATCCTATAGGCATTTAGAAGAAATGCACTCACTATGAACACCAACTTCTGCATCTGCCTGATCATATTTAAAGGAACAGAAGAAATGTTTGTAATTAATCTGCCCAGTAAATACCAGATCATAGTACTAGGCAGGTGCATGTCTAGATAAAATTTCTTGCAGCTAATTTAAACTTTCTACACACACCAGAAGATAATCTCAATGTAAATAATACACTTCTTGACCCTTTAATGAATAAACTAACATGTAGACAAGGATTTGGGCTTATATTCTTTATCATGTATGCTTCTGTATACTTTTAGCATTTGTGGATAGACTTAATAAAGCATTTATGAAAATGGAACCTTTGGTAAAGCTATATATTTTAAAACTCATTAAATCTAATGGTGTGGGTAATTAGGTACCAGTTCTTCCATTTAAATCCCCAGATGTGTATTAATAAGATTCTTTTTAAAACTTTAAAAATTTTTATCTAGAAGTTTATTGTGTAGCTCCTATCTCAGGGATGAATTTTTATCATACTCTAGTTATTTCTATTGTAGAGAATAAATATTTTCAAGGTTTTAAAATTCTTACACCCTTTATAAAATACTGGAATGCATTTTTTAATAGACATTTAAATATGAAGTTGTTTTTAAACTGAACTACACAGACTACTAAATTTAAAGAAGAGAATTTTCTTATGGGACAGTATGTGAGCCCCTCCAAATTATTTTGAAGCATTAGTTTAGGCTTCTGTTTTTGTATGGTGGTGTTCTGTATCACCACCCGTTTGTGCTGCCACAAAACAGAAGGGAAGAGGGAAACACGGAATGTGTCGTAACTTGATAACATGCTTTTTCTATAGGGGCTAAATGTTACTCCGTGGTACTTGCCCTGAGTCTTAACAAAATTTGTGTAAGATATTACTATGTCATTTAATTCAGTGTATCATAAAAATACTGTTTGAAAATCTGAAACAAAATTTAACAAATTAAGATTGAAAATAATAATTTCCATTTAGAGAAATTTAAGATTCACCTCTTAAAATGAAAATGATTTTTAAATGTTAAATGGCATAGATACTAAACAGTAGCCCAATTAACTATTAAACCTAATTGCCTTCTCTAATGATTTTATTGCTATTTAAATATGATTTCTGAGATAATCTGCTGAATATCTGAATGTCTGTCAGAACACTTTATAATACAGCCTTTATGATTGGACATTACCTAAAATATACCTAAAAGGGTATCCCTTTGTGTTCTAGCATTGAAAACCTTAGAATGTAAGCCAAAACATACAAAGACACCTACATTAATAAGGAAATAAAGGGTTAAGAAGTAGATTGGTTTCATACGTAATCCAAGTTATGTAGGTATGTGCTTAATGCTATTAAATCAGTTACTGTATATTTGACCTCTTGATATCCTAGGCTTTTGCCTTTCAGAACAGCTGGGTGTGCTAAGAATCATTTCTCAGTTCTCTTCATTGTAGATCAGATGACTCTCGCTTTATCACCCTTGGAGGCCACATGAAGGACAAAGCAGAAAGATCCACACACAAAACTAATGTTTATATGGGGGTGGGGGATGGATACACTTGGCCCTGATTTTCCAATGAACATAACAGAAGAAAGACCAATTGAGACTTGAAACCACTGTGTAACTCCGACCGTTATTTAGTTACATCCTATCCATCTCTTACTCTCTTTCTATTGAACAGAGAGGATCCTTTGGCTGCCCTGACTTTTGTAAATGTTTCACTCACTTAGTTGTGGTTTATCACTTGGACAGAATGCTACATCGGGGATTTTTTTTCCCCCCTCTCTAAAGGCTCAAGAGAAAATGACTTCTGTGTGCCTCATATTTGATACATGAACATACACTCTATTCTCTTCATTTTAAGAAGCAAACCGAAGTTTATTGGCAACACAGAAAACTGCATTTCTCAGAAACAGACCTCCCCTCAAACATGAACTTCAAAATAACTTAGAAGGGTTCACTTTTGACAGATGTATTAGTGAAGAAAGTGAGAAATAGTATTTTTTATAAAACCTAAATATCTTTATGTTAAAACACCCCTATAATCCTGGATGTAGCTGACAGAATTGCCTATTTCTGTAATCTTAATTCATCACTGGACATTTTTGGTGTTTTGGAACTTCTCAAAGTTCAAAATGGACTCTTAAACTGATCTCTGGCTGATATAAGAGATACTGGACAAGATAATTGCTCTAAGTCTACATAAAAGCTACGATGTAACAATAAAATTAGATGAAATAATCTGGAAAATATTTAATTTACAGAATTTACCTATAAGATACCTTGAATATGGGTGCATTCTACTTTACTGTTTCTATAATACTTTTATTTTCAAATAATAGCATTTCTGTATTCCAGTTACTCAGAAGTTGGAACTTCATCATCATTGATTTAAGTCAACATCGTGTATTAAACACAAGTATGCTATTACCAAAAATAAATAAATAAATAAGCCTGCACCAGCCAGCCAAGATGCTGACATCTGGGCACACAGATCACAGATGGTGACCATGGACAGGGAGGTTCCTGCTGATTCAGCAGCGATTCAAGGCTGCTTTTCTCTGCTGACCTGCCCTTTGAGTCTTTATGCACATTTACTTGGAGAAAGAAATACTTTTTGTTTTTCGCTTTGTCTAAACCCACTCCCTTTATCAGACTGAGAAACACATATCTTCTTGCATCAGCCTGTGGTAGTCCATGTCTAAAATGAGATTTTCCTTGTGTGTATATGTGTTTGGCTTACATTGTTTTAAAACACACCACCATTTATTTAATTTGCCTTCACGGCTGTCTTGTGAAAGAATTAACTTTCTTAAAAAATACCTGTTGATGGAAGAGTGATTGTTTTATTTTTATCACAGACTAAAGAAAACACGCTTTTACATGAGAAACTACAACGTGGATATAATACATTACTTTTACCAATTGACTCCTAGAGTATAGACGGGTTTCTGCTAACATAGAGGGCTACGGTATTAACAGGGCCAAGTTAACATGGAGCATGATACGCGGCACTGCTCATGGCCCCGGGAACCCTGAACGCAGAACAGAAGGGTGAAACCCCGCCTAAGGCAGGCACCTAACTTAAAGCGATACTGGAAATTTAGAACCCAGTGCTCACAAGTAATAGAAAGAGTTCATTCAAACCACTTAGATTTAAATTCAGGAAAAATCATTGTTTAATTGCATTAAAGTAAACCAACAATCTTGGAAATAAATAACAAAGTTTAATATCTCTGCCTTGTTAAAAAAATTCAAATTTGCACATATATAAGGCATGTTCAGACTTCAAGCAGTTTAAATTGCTTTCTCATAGTAATTTAAAACATTTGATACTGGAGATATAAATCCTAAAGAGTGAAATACACATTACTTGCATTTTATTGTAAAATGTAAAAAAAACTACATTTAAATATCAAAATTAGTAATTTCCAATAAAAAGAAGGGGCTAAATTCCCCCCTTAAACTCAGTATATTTGTAGATTGTTTTAAATTATATTTTATTATGCTATTACAATTGTCCTGATTTTTCGCCCTTTGCCTCCTTCTACCCAGCACCCCCCACTCCCTCAGGCAGTCCCCCACCCTTGTTCATGTCCACAGGTCATGGACATTAAGTTCTGTGGCCACCCCATTTCCTAAACTGTACTTTACATCCCCGTGGCTCTTCTGTAACTTCCTATTTGTAATTCTTAATCCCCTCACCTCTCACCCATTTTCCCACAACCCTCGCCCCATCTCTTTAACCTTTGACATTTTAATTATGATGTGTGTTGGAGTGGGCTTCTTTGCATCCATCTTGTTAGGAACTCTGTGCTTCCTGGACTTATATGTCTATTTCCTTCACCAAATTAGGGACAATTTCTTTCATTATTTTTTCAAATAGATTTCCAAGTTCTTGCTCTTTCACTTCTCTTGACACCCCTATGAAATGAATGTTCGATTGCTTCAAGTTGTCCCACAGGCTGTTTACATGATCCTCATTTTTTTGGATTCTCTCTTCTTCTTGTTTTGATTGGTTGTTTTCTGCTTCCTTATGTTCCAAATCATTGATTTGATTCTCGGCTTCATCCACTCTACTGTTGTTTCCCTGTAAATTGTTCTTTATTTCAATTAGTGCATCCTTCGTTTCTGACTGGGTCTGTTTTATGCTGCTGAGGTCCTCACTAAGTTCCTTGAGCAGCGTTATAACCAGTGTTTTGAACTCTGCATCTGATAGGTTGCTTATCTCCATTTCATTTAGCTCTTTTTCTGGAGTTTTGATTGTTCTTTCATTTGGGCCATGTTTCTTCATCTTCTCATTTTGGCAGCCTCCCTGTGTATGTTTCTATGTATTAGGTAGAGCCGCTGTGACTCCGTGTCTTGGTCGTGTGGCCTAATGTAGTAGGTGTCCCGTAGGGTTCAGTGGGACAGCCTCCACTATCACCCAAGCTGGGTACTCAAGGTGCACCCCCAGTGTGGGCTGTGTACACCCTCCTGTTGTAGTTGAGCCTTGAATCCTGTTGGCACATCCAAGGCCTGTCCCTACCTGTGTTTTGCCCAGTGCCACCCTGCCTGAGCTATAGAGCAATCTGAGATGGCTGATACTTGCTCTGGGCTTGGAAAATTCCCAGCAAAGCCAAGCTGTGAATCTAGGCTGCTAGTTCTGGGCCTGGGGCTCCCTGAGGCCAGCTGCTGCTTGTTGGAGAGGATTTAGGAAGTTGAGCAGCACAACCCAGAGCAGCCATTCATATGGAAAAGCAGCTTGGGAGGGCCAGTGATTTGGGTGGGGTGGAGTCTTCCCTAGGGAGTTTTCTTCCCTATAATTCCATAATTCTCAAGATGATAATTTTATTTATACATGGCAAAAAATCCACAAAATCTTTTAGTGCTGTTGACATATTTACATTTGGGGATATAGCTAGTTGATTTTCACATTTGGCACTGTTAACATTTTCACATTGGGGGATGTAGCTAGTTGACTTTCTTCTGATTTCTTCCACTTTTGGAATCCCACATGATTATAATGTTAAAATATACCAGGAAGAACAGAAATTTCAAGCAGGATACAAAACAAACCAATACAGAAAATAAGTCTGGGTATTTCTGAGGAGGATCCAGTGTTACAGTCATCAGCGTCAGAAGGACCATTGTGATTACTGACATAAGAAACTGTAAGGAGGAAAAAGAAGTATTAAGTAACATAAGTTAAATGTATTGAGAACACTCATTTATAGCTATAAATCAGCAGAATTGATGGGGAGGCTGGGGGATACAATGTCTTCATGATGGATCTCAACCTAGGTTGCCAGTTAGAATCAATTGGTGTTAAATATCTCTGTGCCCATGCCATACCCAAGACTGATCAAGTCAGAGTTTCTGGGTTAGGCCTCTGTATTTTTTTAAATTCTCTTAAGTGATCCCCATGTGTAGCAAAAGGTGCACCCACAGCGTGCGTCTTTCTTATACTTCATAGCGCCCAGGCACTGAAGAAAGTTACCTGGAACAGATAATATTGCTAGTCAAGGTTAAATTCACATCATGCTCCAGGACCCCAGGTCCCTACAGGATATAAAATTCTAAGCTAATCTAGGAACCCAGTTATGGAAAAGTTATCCGTGGCAAATGGAAAAGTTATACTTCATGCTCACTACACTTTCAATGAGCTAGTGCTGTCGTAAGCATGGTGGGGCATGTGCAAGAAAATGTCCTATGGCCTCAGAGAGTTTTCAATTTAATCGGGGGAATGCATGAACTAGTTAAATAAAATCACAAGGTCACATTTTATTAAATGCCAAAATGACGAGTAAAAGGAACTGCATTCACTCTTAACTATGTAGCTCTCAGGTTTCTCCTCCAGACCAGTGCCCTGGACAACAGAACTTCTGCAGGGACGGAAACGTCCTACAGCCGTGGAGGGAGGTGCTGGCCACGTGTGACTGCTGCGCATTTGAAATGCACCTGCTGCAAACGAGGAGCTAAATTTTGTAATGCATTTAATTTTGCTAAGTTTAAATAAATTTCTACACGTGTCTAGTGGCGACTGTATCGGACAGTTTTGCTTGACACTACGAGCTCCTTTAGGAGAAGGACCAGCCAGCTCTTATTTATTTTATCCTTATTACTTATAGTATATAAGTACACAGAAGCTGTTTAAGTGAATGTAGAAAGCAACAAGTAAGGAACAGTAGTCACTTTCATGAAGGAGACAGGACCCTAAAAGATGCTTTAATGGCTACACTATGAATAGAGAGTAATGCAGTGATCATCCCTGATGGAGAGTGGGATGCATGGGCGCCACCAAGGCTCACGGACAGGTAGGTACAAATGGCCGTAAGTGTCCTTCAAAGAAAGAATCCCCGAGTCAGCCTTGTGGGGAATGAAAATTTCTGAAGTGAAATCAAATTAAACTCAAGAAATATGGGACTAATTGAAATGTCATGGTACTGTGAACTTGAATACATGCTAAAATTCCCCCCGTTTTTAAACAAATTCTATCTATTACCCCTATTGTCTACTCCTATTTACAGCAAAGTTTCCAAAAAGAATTGCCTATGACTTGGTGCATCCAATTCTTCCAGTCATAGAGAACCCACACCAATTAGGCTTTCACCCCAACCACTCCAATCAAATTGCCCTGATCGAAGATCCATAATAACCTCCACTGCACTACCTCCAATGTTCAATCATCATTGCCTTACACGATCTCCCTGCAGCATCTGAAATAGCACAACACTCTCACGTCCTGGGAACACTTGGCTTCCATGGTACCATATTCCTGCTGTCTTCCCCTCTCACTAGTTAATCCCCCTCAGCAGCTTTGCCGGCTCCTTCTCACGTCCCCCATCTCTACGCACTGTACCACCCCAGGGCTCAGTGCTTAGTCTTGCTAACCTGCACTCACCCCTTTGCTGAATTCATTCAGTGACATGACTCATTATTATATACAAAAGAGTCAGATTACTTGTCTCCAGTCTAGACCTCTCCTCTAAATTCCAGATGCATATATCCAAATGCTCCTTAATGTCCCCATTTAGGCATCTAAAACTAAAAACACGTAAAAGCTATCTTCAATAAGATGAATGGCTGACTTCTCATCAGAAAACATGACAGCCACTAGGCGCGGGGATGGATGACATTCAAATTGCTGAAAGAAAATCCTGTTTCTAGCAAAAGTATCCTTCCAAAATTAAAGAGAAATGAACATAAAACAAAGTCCATACATTTAAAAATACCGAAATAGCACAAAGTATGTTCTCCAAACACATCAAAATTAGCTTACAACACAAAAACAGAAAGAAATCTGGTAAATCCCCAAATATTTGGAAACAACAAATTTCTTAATAATTCATGAGCCAAAGAATAAATAACAATGAAAATGGACTACATTTTTAACTAAATACAACATATATGTCAAAATTTATGGGATGCTGCTTAAACATGGTACAGGAGGGAATTTATAGATTTGAAAGGCTACGGGAAAATGGAAGAAAGCTGTCACATCAATCACCTGACCTTTAAAAAACTAGACGAAGAGTAAACAAAACCCAAAGCAAGCATAAGAAATAATAAAAGTAAAACCGAAATCAATGAAATAAATAAGCCAGGCAGAGAAAGACAAATATCATATGATCTCACTCATGTGTGGAATCTAATGAACACACTGAACTAACAGGCAAAACAGAGACAGACTCAGAGAGCAGGATGACAGCTCTGGGGTGGGGGGAAGTCAGAGGGTGGACGGACGGAGGAAAGAGGAAAAAGGACTCATAAACGTGGACAGCAGTGTGGTGATTGTGGGGGCAGGGAGAGAGAGGTATAAGGGGACTAAACAGTAATGGAAAAAAATACAATAAAAAATTATTAAATAAAAATAAAATATGTCAAAAAATAGAGAAAACCAAATGACCAGTAGTTGGTTCTATAAAAAGATCAATGAAACCAACAGACTAGCTAGGCTGACCAAGAAAAAAAAAGAAGGTACAAATCCCCAAAATCAGGAGCGAAAAATAGGTGTCACTTCTTACCACACAAAAAAATAAGTGAATGACAAAGGACTATTATGTACAACTGTAAGCTAACAAATTAGGTAACACAGATGAAACAGACAAATTTTTAGACACACCACTACAGCTGTCTCAAGAAATACAGAAAGTCCAAATAGACCTATAACAAAAAAATGGAAATTAATCATTTTTAAAGTCCCACAAAAAAAGGCCCAGGCACAGATGGCTTCACTGGTGAATTATATCAAATGTTGATAGAAGAATTAATATTTATCCTTCATAAACCCTTTCAAAAAGTAGAAGCAGAACACTGCCAAAATCATTCCATGAGGCAATTATTGATATTAACCCTGATACCAAAACCAGAAACAGACTTCGTAGGAAAAGAAAACTACAGATCAATATCCCTTATGAATATAGAGAGAAAAGTCTACAGAATACTGGCAAACCCAAACATCTGGCATATAAAAAGGATTGTGCATCATGATCAAGTGGGACTTAACCCAAGAATGGAAGATTAGTTCAACATACAATAAAATCAATGTAATATACCATATCAATAGAATAAATGGGGAAAAAAATCACATGACCATATCATTAGATACACAAAAAACATGACAAAATCCAACAGCTTTTCATGCTTTAAAAAAATAACACACTCAATAAACTAGGGATAGAAGAACGTCCTAACCAAATAAAGGCCATCTATTAAAAAACCCACAGCTAACATCATAGTTAAGGTGAAAAACTGGATGCTTTCCCCCTAAAATCAGGAAGAAGAAATGTCCACTCTTGCCAGTTGTATTCAACAGTGTACCAGAGATTCTGGCCAGGGTAATTAGGCAAGGTGTTAAAAATGAAATGGCAGACCTGATCAGCGTGGCTCAGTTGGCATCATCCCACAAAGCAAAAGATCACCAATGTGATTCCCAGTCAAAGGACATGCCTGGGTTGTGGGCACAGTCCCTGGTTGGGGCACGTGCAAGAAGCAACCAACCGATCAATGTTTCTCTCTCACATGCATGTTTCTTTCCCTCTCTACCTCCCTTTCCCTCTCTCTCTGAAAATAAATAAAATCTTTTTTAAAAGCTAACTATAATACAAAGCTATAGTAATCAAGACAATGTGGTAAACACATAAGCTAAGTACCATTCCTTAAACACTGAACAACTTACCAAATGTTGTATAATTCTGGGAAGAAATGTAAAACATGGAAGGTATTTCCTAACAGAAATGGAAAAAGATTTCAACTGTAGTTCTTCTTCTGAAGTCTTTTCAAATATTGAAAAGGAAGTTGCACAAGCTATAAAAAATGCCATCATTGTCACAATTGTGGGCATTAGGAGGTCATCCTTCAAAAGAAGAGGCAGCATACTGTAAGGGAAAATAGAAACCATAGTCACTTGGTAAAAACGTTTTAAATGAGTTTGTAAGAACTATACTGAAAATATTATATGGGAATTGGTTTGACTCACCTAAATGTTGACACAAGTAAAAACCAAGTAGACATAAAAGGAATTTCACTTAAAACTAAGCAGACAGGTCTAAAATGATAAAGAAAAAAAATACTTTAATCTTACAGAATATAATTTCAACTCTTACTCACAAAAAATATAAACACATTTTATGTCTTATTTTCAGGGAAGCTAAAAAGAAAACTAAAAACAGCCCAAGGTCTTCATACAGACTAATGACTCATTTTTTTTATAACTATCAATCCAAACTAAATGAGTCTAAATACAGAGAAGGTGTCAACTACTTAAAATGACTGGAAAAGTGCTCTTCCAGAACTCAGTCCAAAAAATGGAATATTCTTTCTCTGCCATACAAATAGTGGCTTTAAAAAAAGGATCAAATAAACAGATGTAAACACAGAAGGAGAGCTGCTTGATGTGTTTCACCATACTTGGTGAACATGAAATGAATCCCCAGTATAGCGGCTTTCACACTTCTTTTTTATGATCCTCCATGTTTCATAGCACTCAGCTAAGTTAAACACTAAAGTTGTAACAGACAGGATCATCATTTGCCACTGAAGAGAGGCCAACAGACGCAGAGAAGAACTATAATGGGAAAAAAGTTGATGATGGCAGAATAAACGAAAAGAGGAAAAAACCAATAGGAAGAGGCTACGTGAAAAGAGCAATAGCATAGGAACAGGAAATGGAATGCCAATAAATGGAGCCACTGACTTTACCGAAGAGCTGTTCAGGCTTGTAAGTGCAAACTCTGTGACCTTCTTACCACTAACACTTTGTCCCATTACCTTCTAGATTCAACTGTGATAATAATGCTCAAGAAGGGGACTAGCAGAGGACCTGATTCCTAGTCTCATCTCTGCCACTTACTTACTGTATGCACTGGAATAAATGATTAATTTAACCTTTCTTCTTATGTGTAATTGAAATAATAGTATTTTGCATTGTTAAGTAGTTGAAAAAACTCCTACGAGTACCATGTAGAATTTGGGGCCTAAGGGCTAATCTGAATGGTCAGATTACAGGTCACTGAATGGGCTGCCTTTCTATGGGGTAGGAATTCTAGGGAAAATACACATGCTTGAAAGCAATGCTTCTCCATAGGTCTATCCCTGGCATTAGGGATTTGTGTGGGCTCAGCCTAGCCTCACAAAATAGTGGTAACTCAGGTTTAGACTTGGGAAGGTGAAATCAAGCTGTCCTAGACTGCAATGATATTAGACTGTTTTGTTCAGAGCAAAGAAACCTTACACATAGGCCAGCCCACCTTACTATAAAGCTATGCACTGAGGTTTTAGTTCAAAGCTCCACCTTCCATTTGTCATTAGTCACTCTGTATATTATCTTCCACAGGAACCTAGCAAATGGGGTGAGGATTATAGTGGTTGTGGGTCAGGATTCAAGCATTCCAATGGGTTCTGGGAAAATATTGTACACTATTTTAATAATGGGATAATATACCCCTACCTGTCACCCAATTTCTGTGAAGACCAAGAAAAAAATTTTAGTGCTCCTAAGACAAAGTAGTCTGGTTAGAGACTGCTAATAGGGTCTAACCAAAGGTTTTAACAAAATAAACAGAAAGGAGGCAACCTATGAAAGCCCCTGCCGAGAGACAGGAGCGAGAAGAAGGCTGTTGAACAGGTACGGAAATGAAAAAGGCAAAGATGACAAACTCTCCAATCTGAGGAAAGCCTCTTTGGAAAACATATTTTTTTATTAGCATACAGAAAATATATGAAGAAACAGGAAGAAATAAGTATGTCAGTAATAATTTTATGAAGTATTTTCAGTTTAAAATACAATGAAGTAAAGTTGTAAAAGATCATCATTCTGGAAAAAATATGATTTAAGAAATAATTTTATGCGACTATGTAACATTTGTATAGTTGTGTTTTATATTCAGGTAATTATATGTAACAAATTTATAATATTATAAACACATAATAAATAATAAATAAAACAAAACATTTTTACTTACAATGATACCAAGAGAATGGACTTTTCATGTACGTGGAAAGAAAATAAAAAGAATGATAGTGCACAGGTAACCTTTAAGAAAAATGAGAAAATTGAGATATAACAATTTATAAAATATGATAGCAATTTAATTATGAATCTGAATAAAAATAATTTCAAGTAAAACTTTACAGTTAATGTATCTTCTTTCTAGAAGGAAAATATATACACAACACTAATATGCATATTTTATTCAAATATATAATCAAAATATTTTTGAAAAACCTGATTATAACACTATACTTAACCATCTAAAATAAACTCATTGATACTGTTATTAACAAACAAAACTACTAAGTACTTCAAACACAACAATTATAGCTTCATCCTCCTTTGGACTCTGACAATTCAAATTTAAAAGCATGAAGGACAAGAAGGTCAAAATGTAAATCTGGTAAAACAGATCTATTTCAGTGTTTTTAAAACATGCATTTCAATAAAATATTATTAAATCATGCATTCCCATAAAATATATCAAATGTTTTATAATCATTTCACTTATATAATACATAGGATTTCACTGGTATGTGGAATATAAAACAAAAAGGAACAAACTAACAAAACAAACTCATAGATACAGTCAACAGAATGGGAGTTACCGGAGGGGAAGGGAGCTGGGAGGAGGGAGACCCAGATAAAGGGGGTCGAATATATGGTGACGGGAGGAAACTAGACTTTGGGTGGTGACCATGCAATAGAGCACACAAATGTTGAATTATAAGCTTCTACACCTGAGAATTAAATAATGTTATTAACCAAAGCTACCCCAACAAATTTCATTTTAAAAGAAAATAAAAAGAAAAAAAAAAGAAATGAAACATGCACTTCAATAAACTACAGTAATTGTTTGTTATTTGGGGTTTTAAGTAAAAAACTACTTAGAACTATTTTCAGAAGCTTATGTTCTGAATATTAGACATCTATCTATATATATCCAATCTAGCTGTTCAAGCAAAAAACGTGGGTCGCTACCTTGTACCTGCTACACATCCAATCCATCAGCAAATCCCCTGCACCACCTCCTAAATACAGGACCCACCCACTTCTCTCTGCGGGGCCACCCGCACCTTCCTCTTGGACGACCGCAGTAACCTGCTCATGGGTAACGCTCTCGCCTCCCTCCCGTCCATTCCCCCTCAGCCACCATGTCAGATCACATAAATTTCCTTGTTTAAATTTCTTCAACTGCTTCAGTTAGAATAAAATCCACACTCCTACAGGATCTGGTCCTGCCTTCCTCTTCCAGTCTTACTGTCCCCCTCACGCCACACTGGCACTTCATACCCATGCCCATAAGGCCTCAAACATGCTAAATGCGTTCCTGCCCTAAGGAAAAAGTTGCTTCTATCAAGTCAGAGCCCAGATCTTCTTGTGGTTGGCTCTTTGTGGTCGGCCGCTCTGTTCTAGGCTCAATTACCACTTCCCTCGAAAGGCCTGCCCTTACTCAGCCTGACGCAGTGCCCCTCACCGTGTCGCACCTGCATTCTTTTCACACAGACTATTTCTTCACAGCCCTCAGTACTCCCAGCTTATTCTCTTGTTCACTGATGTAGTTTGTTTATTGTTCATTCTTCTGCCACAAACAAAAAAGGCCCCAAATAAGAGAGCAGGAATGTTAACTGTCATTCACTTACATGCCAGTACCTAGAAAAGGACCTGACACATTCAAGAGTGCTCAATAAATACTAGGTGAGTAAATTAAATAGAAATCATGTTGCTGCTACAAATAATCAGTATTCATATTATCAATTATCTCAATTATAGACTTATAATTAAAGACTCTATAATTAAAGACTCTATAATTATAGACTTATAGAGACTGGAATTGAGGATAATTCAATCTTCATTGAAAGGAAAACATTTTAATTAACATGAAAATGGTAAAGCTCTCAGAAGTATTCAACAAGAATTCAAAACATCACCAACAAAAATAACAAAAGTCATTAATATAAGTCTTTTTTAGTTTTTTAAACACAATGGCCTGTATTAAAACATAGCAAATAGAATAAAATTAGGAATCTCAGAGAAAGAAAATGTTTCTCTCTGGCTTTAAATCCCTAGGAGTAAATCATCTCTAGCACTGCCACAGTTACTCAAACTCTGAAATTCCATTCCATTATCTTAGAAATATACCTTTATTTAGCATGCTATTTCCTAGAAAAATAGCATAATCTTGTGTAAGCTTGCCAATATTTCAAGTTAGGCCTATTGAAGACATCAGAGCATTACTAACCATATCCCTCCTGTTCTGCGAGTCCTGTAGAATATTAACTATAAACGACAGTGTGCTCACAGTTCATTCACAGAATGAAATAACAGAAATCATCAATAAAAAGGTAATCAAAAAGAGGAGAAGAACATGAAACTATCTTTTTTACATGGTGGTACTCATGTACTTTTGAAATATTTTACTGGTATGCTACGTTCTGCTTTGCTTTTAGAATGCAATGCATATACGTGGCAGTCCCAGAACTGAAACCCTAATTTCTAAAATGTTGTCCCCTTGGCAAATAAAGTCCACGGACTTACTGTTTCCATAAACCAAATTTTCTTGATATATTAGAAAATATTTTTTATATGCCATTTTATAGGCCAAGGCACACAGGAACAAAATTCTAAGTACCATGGGAATATAACCTGGAGGAACTTGTAAACCCACTCAGAGAAACCCTAAACTCTAGGATTGGAACCAATGTATCTTCAAACTGGCACAAGTCATCTTCCTAAAACAGAAATCAGTTATTTCTGATTTCTGCTCTCTCTTGCCTAAAAATCTTTTTTGGCTCCTCTTGCACACAAATCCAGCTCCAACGTACTCAACCCGACATTCAAGCTTTTATACAACTTGATCCTATTTTTTTAGAGAGAACAGAAGAAGACAGAGAGAGAGAGAAACACCGATGTATGAGAAATACATCCATCAGTTGCCTCTCGCACGCCCACAACTGGGAACCTGGCCCACAACCCAGGCACGTGCCCCAACTGAGAATCGAACCAGTGGACTTTTGGTTTGCAGGCTGGCGCCCAATCCTCTGAGCCACTCAAGCCAGGGCGTGATCCTTTTTGACTTTTATCTCTCACTATATCCTCTCTTCAACACACACACACACACACACACAAATATTGCATTATTCAATAGCTGTTCTAGAGCATTCCCTATCATTCCTCACCTCTGTACCTTCCAACTCTTCCTCCTGTCTTAAATTCTCTTCTGCTATATAACCTCCTATTCCCAATCTTGCCCAGCTTTCAAAATTTGGCTCCAATCCCACTTGCCCTAAAAGGCTGTCTAACATCTGCACCCCAAGTACTTAATATCTCCTTTACCTGCACCATCATAGCACCTAATTTGTACCAAATAGAATGTAATGCCATCCTCTTAGGCACAAAATTGTTTAAGCATATGTCCATCACACTGTTTTCTTCTTTGTATTCCCTCATTGACTCATACAAAGCAGAACTTAAATAACTGTTGAATGAAAGTGAAAGATTCTAATTTCTCAACCTAGTGCCCAACACAGCACCTAAGTATGTCAGACACTCAGTAAATGTTCATCAAATAAATGAATGTCCCAATCCAATAAAGCTGTTCAGAGCAAGAAAATAATTATCTCTATTTTTAAAAGATCAGTGGCAGCAAGAATTAAGTACCTCAAGTAATGAGAAACTTACCAGAGTAAATCTGAATCCTTTGGGAGAGGGCTGGAGTGTTAATTTTATACATGCAGGAAGCAGGCTCAAAAATGTAAAACAAAAGCTTAAAAATGAATTTAAAAATATTTGTTATCTTTGTAGAAGTATATAGCTAAAACAAAGACTTTTTAATGTAAGGATCACATTACATATCAAATTAAATTGCTTTCAAATTAAAGTTTAGTTTTATTCTTTAAATTTAAGACTAAATAAGATTTAAATAAAATCCATACACTGAAATACGTCCCCTCTTTAATATATATGTGATTATATATAATATGGAACAAAACATTATAGTTTTAAATGCTACTTATGTTATTTCACTAGTTCATATCATCTATAGAAAAGATACAAAGATAGATAGCTAAACATCAATTCTCAACCACAGAGACAATGCCATATTTGTAACAGAAACATTCATTAAATGTACTTATAAGAGAAACTCTAATATTAGCAGATGTGGCTCAGTTGGTTTTAGTGTCATCCTATAAACCAAAAGGTTGCAGGCTGGATTCCTGGTCAGGGCACGTGCCTGGGTTGCGGATTTGGTTCCCAGTTGGGGCACTTCCAAAGGGCAACGATTGACGTTTCTCTCTCATATCAGTATTTCTCCTCCCCATCCCTTCCCCTCTATCTAAAATCAACAAGTATGTCTTCGGGCAAGGATATAAATAAATAAATAAATAAATAAATAAATAAATAAATTTCTCTTTCTCTCTGGCCTTAATTCACAAAACTTGATTATTTGATTTTCAAGCCCATGGAAAATCAAAAATAAACAAGTTAGAAAGGGAGCGGGAAGCTGCTAGAGCTTCTCCTAGGGATGGCTGGCAGGGTGGGAGATGGGGTAGGGCGGGAGATGGGGTAGGGCGGGGGGCGGGAAGGGGGGGGTAGAGGAAGAACTCAGTGAGCAGAGCCACCTGGAGCCATTAAATACCATGGCAAGTGGCCTTTGAAAGCCCTGGAAACAGGGATTACAACGCAACGCGGTAACGGATTTTCCCACCTGTGGTGACTTCCTGGCCTGTCAACTTGGCTGGGCTGAACTAGAGTCCTTGCTACACGGGCTACAAGGGATATTCTTGAAAGAACTGAAGGACAGAGGGAGGCAGCACGCATTTTGTAGTGCACCCACACCTTCCTTCACCCAACTATTCAAACACTTAACCTCGGTGCTGCGTGGAAGAGATTTTGCAGATCTAATAAAAGTCCCTCATCAGTTGATTTTTACTTAATCTACAGGAAGATAGTCTTGGGTACACCTGATTCAATCAGTTGGAAACCCTTTAAAGGCACTTAGTCCTTCCCTAAGCTCAGAGATTCTTAACAGCAGCTGGGTCTGAATCCCTCCTCCTTCCCCTTAAATCTGCCTTCCTGATGCTTTGTGGACTTCCAGTTCGCTTAGCCAGCCCCCACAACTGTATCAGCTATTTCCTCATAGCAAATTCGTACATGAGGGGACACACACACACATCTACTCATTCTCCTTCTCTAGTTGAACCCTCACTTACACACCACTGAAAATCACGGCTCTTCAGCGTAATGTTCAATCATGTTGAGCATATATGCTCTGTTTAAAGAGGAGGCAAGTAGGTACAATCCAAGATTTTCATGTAAAATATTTCAAATAAAAGAGTGTTGTATAGAGGGATGGGTTTACATTATGTGGAAAATTCCCTAATAATGCCAGATAGGTGAGATATTACCATAATACTTTTAGAGAAAAGCATATAAAACACCACATGCAAACTTTGTGTCTCTTACCTGATTATTATCTGGATGTGATGTGGCAAAGTATCCTTGATCTTCAGAAAGACACTTAAGCTGCACCAGATATTGGCTACTTTATCCTTAAAAGAGATTTCTTAGTTTTACATTCTCACATAATTGAAAGAAATATTAAACTCCACAAAGCACAGCCCGTAATCTCTAAATAAACTTTGTTCACAATTTTTATCACTAAGTAGATTAAACTTTCCAAGAAATGCATACATACACATACAGACCAGCATTTTTTCATTTCTTTGCAATGGGAGTTGATCTAAATGACTAGCCAGCCATAATCTAGATGTTCCCAAGAAATACTTAATATTTTTCAAAGAACAGCACACAATATCCCTAAATAATCAAGTTATTCATCTTTGGAAATTTTTCTAGAAATCTTTTGTTTTCCTAATTTTTAGAACACATTTTATGTGACCCGTTTTATCACAGATCTGAAATTATCTAATATAACTTCCTAGCTACTAGCAATGACAAGAGTTAATCGCTAATACATCAAGAAGTTTAAAAACATTAGCAGTTGTGCTAGGATCACTTTCAAAATTAAATTTGTAACTACAGCTCTCTGTTCCTGAAACCCATCCTCTTCACAGCTGCTTGACTCACAGCTGTGTACACAGGCATAACATCAAGAAAGTAACTGTCACTGGACAGCTGTACCACCCTGTTTCCCTCCGTCAGATCAAAGAAAATGCTCTTTAGATTTTGAAAGCAACAAGTAAATGGAAGTGACCAGCAACACCATCAAACACATATGATGCTCATTTTTATAATTATCATCATAAACGCCATTTTTGAAGTGGAAGGCAAGGCAAATAGCCAGGCAGCTCATGTGGAGAATTAAACTTATCTTTATGTAAGTGTTAAGGTAAGAAAAATAAAAAGAAGAGCACAATTTTCAAAGTTCGAATCATAGTTTTGCCACATACTAGCTATATGACCTGAGTTTTCTGATCTATAAAGTGGGAGTGATGGCTACCTTGGGGCTATTGTAAGAATCAAATGAAATCACATGTGAGGTATCTGGCACCTAGTAAGTAGAGATAATAATAGTGATTATGTATAATCATCAATATCAGCAGCAGCAGCATCTCCATTGACATACAAGTCACACACTCCTATTCCTTCACAAAACCAAACTCTCTTGGTCTCTTTCAAAATGCTTGTTCCATCCCCTTACAGATCCAATTTACATATTCAAAAAATAGGAAGATATGTATGCTTTTCTAATTCTTTTTAAAAGAAATGTTTATTCAAAAGCAAATTATCTATAAATATGCTGTCTCTGTCTAACTTTATTAAAAGGCCCTTTTGTTTCAGAAAAATGGTTTGTTTAATTTAATTACTAAATCTAAATCATCAAATTACCCATGTAATAAAAGTTTAACAAGAGTGATTAAGCTAGCATTAAATGAAATGAAAGATTCTCATTAAAAATGACTATGGATGAAGGTTATATTTATATATCTCATAAGGAATTATGAGGTCTTTCTGAAGGAAACAGGATTATTAGTTTTATAAATAATTTCCTAAGAACTAAAAGAGACTATAAGCCATTTTTAATATATTTATTGATTTTAAAGAGAGAGGAATCGGGGGGAGAGACAGAGAGAGAGACATCAATTAGTTTTTCCACTTATTTATGCATTCATTGGTTGCTTCATGCATGTGATCTAACTGGGGCTCAAACTCACCTTAGCATATTGGGATGACACTCTAATCAACTGAACTACCAAGCCAGGGCTGTAGCTGCAACTTATGCTGCCTTTCATTATGAACCCTATTTCATTAGAAAAAAAATGTATAATTGAAATATGGATCTTGTGATGGCATAAATATTACCTATGCATGTAATATACTAGAACATGCCAGTTGAGATAGAGGTCCTATACTGGATTAAATAGTTGGCAAGGAATGATTGCAAGAAGAGAGCAGCTGAAGTTACTATTCCCTGTGTGTCTTCTACAGGAAATCCCAGAGGTCACAGGAAAGGTAGCAGAAAGGGGTGAGAGGAGAGTTTTTGAACATGCCTCAAATAATCCACGATCAACTGGGAAGAGCCTTCTTAGAACCTGGAGGGCTTGTTCCTTTTCTGTAAAGAACGGCAACCAGCAGAGAATGAAGGAAGCCACAACAGTGCAAGCCAGCTTAATTAACAATACAAACCTAGAACAAAAAAAAAGGCAACCAATAAGACAAGGAGAGGTTAACACTTCTGAGAAATCAATCTGAATCTCGCTAAATATAGGGTAATGATAAATCTATGCCACCGATATAGGTTTTAGATAGGAGTCTCTTCAAATCAGAGAGAAGAAATTCAAAACCATTAAGATGTGTGCTTCTCCAACAAAGAAACTATCACTATCTTAATAAACATTTAACTTAGATGCCATTCCTATGCAGCCATGAAGAAAAATGTCAAATCAGGATGTACTTTCTAGTTAGTATACAGTCTAACATGCTCTTAAATGGATGAAATCCTACAACAGTACTCTAACAAACCAACCCAGCATAACTTCCAGTAAATGTCCATTGATCAAAATATTTTTTTAGTTAGGAAGATTTAAAATAACATAGAACATGACTTAATCTCTCTTCCCACTCCCTCCTTAGCCAACACATTAATAAGAAATCACCAAAAGGTACAGAGAAAGACTTACCTTATTCCAGGTAAGTCTACCAAATAAATTCTCTGAAGTAATTTTTTAAATTCTGGTATTTAAAAGCCACTCACCCTTTTCTTTTGAGACCTTTTTTAAAACACTTGCCAAGTAAAAAGCAAAAAAATGGCAAGGAGTGGTAAAGTTCCATCTGTTTATAATTCAGCGCTAAGCAAAATGCCAGTGATCCTAGCAGGTCCCAGTGACAAGAGACTCCAACAACACCCCACAAAGCCAAGCCAAGGCTCACAGAATTATATCTGTTCCTGTGTCAAGGAAATTATCTCCATAATTAAAAGTTGCCGATCTTGCATTTTATAGAGCGTATTTTTTACACAATTTTAAAATAATATTTAATGAAAGCTATTTCTAAAGATAAATTGAAAGTATTTAAGTATAAATTCAAATGATAAACATTTGAAATTATAAAGAATTGCCTCAAATATATTAAACCTTCTGTTAAACAGAGCAACTGATTTGTGTAGATTTAAAAGAACTCTGAAGAGTTAACACATATCTTTATTTATGCTAGACTACTTCACAGCTATTACTAAAATAACATAAAATCTAGAGGATAAAATGATGTTTCAAAAGTTTAAAAAAACACAAAATTTATTGGTATCACTATAATTCCTCAATAATATGCATCAAAAAGCACATCGATATATATGCTTACTTATAAACTAATAACATTGTTATATTACAACATCAAAATTAAACTTTCAGTTCAAAATGATAAGCTAAGCCCTCATGTTTACCTCATCTTCTCCCCTAGACCCCCTTAAAATGATAGAGAATTTTTAGACGTATAAATTCACAGCCGTAAAGAGAACGGGAAGATGGGTTACAACAGATCAAGATTTCAACACACGTACAGGAGACAGAAAGATAACATAAAATAGGATGAAAGAAGCCACAAGCACAGAAGAAGCTTAGACAAGCAAGGAGCCAACCTATCTTGCAAGCCTCTAGAGAACTGTGGAAGCACCAAGTAGGTTAGAGGGTTTGAGTAATATTTTGAAAAGAAAACAAGAGGATTAACTGAAAATCCCTAGATGAAGAAATCAAATCCACCTTAGCCTCCCTGAACCCCCACCCCCCGCAAAGATTATCTGGCAGCCAAACCATTTAGCCACCAGCTCCCCCCAGCCCCAGCACCAGGCAACAACAGAAGGAATATTTCTCCAAAGAAATGGAATAGACCACCTGGGACAGCTAGTGGGGAAGTTAACACTACCGTGCAAAGCTCTCCACAGTCTGAAATTTAAGGATCCCAAAGCCTACTGGCCAGCTCCCTGCCCACTTCAACTACAGTGGATCAAATAAATAAAGAGCTCACATGCAGCCTTTTCTTCTGTCTGACTCTTAAATAAGAACAGATACTCTAGGATCAAATAGGCATTGAAGAAAAAAAATAAGACCAAAATGAAAAGGGGAAAATATTGACCCTAGAAAAATGGAAGTAATTCAGACAACAGTAAGGGGAAAAAAGTAAGTTTAAATTTAAGATATGCTTAACAAAACAAATGAAATTTAATAGACGTGTTAGAGATAAAGAAAAGATAATCTTCCAAACAACAAAAAGACAAAGAGATGTTGAAGATGGAGATGAAAGACCTAACAACACCTGTCTAATAAGCTCCAGAAAGAATGAAGTGAGAAAATTATCAAAGAAATAAGAGAATTTCCCAGAACTGAAGAACACGAGTCTTCAAAATGAATGACCCATAGAGAGTCCAAAACAATTGTCAAAAACACCTAACACCTAAATAAATCATTGTAAAATTTCAGGGCTCAAAAATAAAAAATACTAATGATGTCAGTAGCAGCAGCAGCAGCAGAAAATAATAGCAATAAATACTTACACAGTACTTGGTATTTGCCAGGTACTGTTTTAAATGCTTTACAAACATTGATTCAATCCATTTGTAAAAAGTTTACAAAGTAAGGATTATTATTATTATGCTCATTTTACAAATGAGGAAAGTAAAGTACACAGTGGGTTAGAAATGTGTCACTGTAAACTGACATAATCCCCAAAAGCTTCAAGAGGTTGATTCAAATCACAGAGGAGATTTACCAGGTTAAAATGAAAACGAATGACAGTTGGTGAGGATGAACGCCTAGAACTTCTACACCATTGCTAACGGAAGTGTCAGCACAGCGTGCTTCAAAACCATTTGGAAATATGTAAAATTAAACATGTGTACACCCTGTAACTCAGCAATTCCACTTACAAAGATATATATTTATATGGGTACAGAGACATTTATAAGAATATTCATAGCTGCATACTCTAAGATAAAATATGATAAAAACTACAGATTTGACTATCTTTTGCAAGTTTTTTAACAGACACACATATTAATTTTATTACAACTAAAACAGATTAGCAACAAAAGGAAAAACTAGTAGTTAAGCAATCATATTGCTGTGAATTATGTCTTTTTGGGGGACAGATAGTAACATTTAATATATTAGAAAACAAATTGAAGAGCCATGTACAGATTTTTATCAACTTTTCTCCAAGATTTGTTTACTTGAATGTTCCTTATCTTAGTTATCAAAATTACATATAAAATCCACATAGTAAATTTTAATTATTTAGTTTCAGTTTCCTGAAGCTTCTAGCTACCACTGTTGGAGAAACAACCTGTTTTAAAACTCTTCCTCAACATAATAAAGACCATATATGAAAAACCTACAGCCAACATCATACTTAATGGGCAAAAACTAAAAGCTTTCCCACTAAGATCGGGAACACGACAAGGATGTCCACTTTCACCACTTCTATTCAACATCGTATTGGAAGTCCTGGCCACAGCAATCAGACAAGAAAAAGAAATAAAAGGCATCCAAATAGGAAAGGAGGAAGTAAAGCTATCATTGTTTGCAGATGACATGATAGTGTACATAGAAAACCCTGTAGACTCCTCCAAAAAAACTACTCAACCTAATAAGTGAATTTGGCAAAACAGCAGGATACAAAGTCAATATTCAGAAATCAAAGGCATTTTTGTACACCAGCAATGAAACAGAAGAAGAAATCAGAAAAAAAAATACCATTTGAGATAGCAACAAGAAAAATAAAGTACCTAGGAATAAATTTAACCAAGGAGGTAAAAGACCTGTACGCAGAAAACTATACAACATTGAAGAAAGAAATTAAGGAAGACACAAATAAATGGAAGCATATATCATGCCCATGGATTGGAAGAATTAATATCATCAAAATGTCCATACCACCCAAAGCAATTTAAGATTCAACGCAATCCCTATTAAGATACCAATGACGTATTTCACAGAAATAGAACAGACATTTCAAAAATTTATATGGAACCATAAATGACCCCGAATAACCGCAGCAATTTTGGGAAAGAAAAACAAAGTAGGAGGGATCACAATACCAGATATCAAGCTATATTACAAAGCCACTATACTCAAAACAATCTGGTACTGGCACCAGAAGAGACCCATAGACCAATGGAACAGAATAGAAAGCCCAGAAATAAGCCCAGGTCTATATGGGCAACTAATATTTGACAAAGGGGGCAGAAGCATAAAGTGGAGCAAAAACAGCCTCTTCAACAAATGCTGTTGGGAGAGCTGGACAGCTACATGCAAAAAATTGAAATTTGATCGTCAGCTGACACCATACACAAAAATAAACTCAAGATGGATAAAAGACTTAAATATAAGTTGCAACACCATCAAAGTCCTCGAGGAGAACATTGGCAGGAAACTCTCAGATATCCCACGCAGCAATTTTTTCACCGATATGTCTCTTAAGAGCAAGGGACATAAAGGAAAGAATAAACAAGTGGGACCTCATCCAAATAAGAAGCTTCTGCACAGCTAAAGAAAACATCAGCAAAATGAAAAGGGAGCCAACCCTATGGGAAAATATATTTGCTAATGATACATCAGATAGAGGTTTGATCTCCAAGATATATAAAGAACTCACTCGACTCCACTCCAAGAAGACAAACGATCCAATCAAAAAATGGGCAAAGGACCTGGGCAGATGCTTTTCCAAGGAGGAGATACAGAGGGCCCAGAGGCATTTGAAAGGATGCTCAGCATCACTAGCCATCAGAGAAATGCAGATCAAAACCACCATGAGGTACCACCTCACACTGGTCAGAATGGCCATCATAAATAGAGCAACAAACAACAGGTGCTGGCGAGGCTGTGGAGAAAAGGGAACACTAGTAACTGCAGGTGGGAATGCAGTCTGGTGCAGCCATTGTAGAAAGCAGTGTGGAATTTCCTCAAAAAGCTGAAAATGCAACTGCCTTTTGATTCAGCGATTCCCCTGCTGGGACTATACCCTAAGAATCCCAAAACGCCAATTCAAAAGAACCTATGCACCCCAACGTCCATAGCAGCACAATTTACAATAGCCAAGTGTTGGAAGCAGCCTAAATGCCCATCAGCAGATGATTGGATCAAAAAATTATCGTACATATACACAATGGAATACTATGCAGCAGAAAGAAAAAAAGAACTACTAAACTTCACGACAGCATGGATGGAACTGGAGAGCATTATGCTAAGCGAAATAAGCCAGGGGGCGAAAGACAAATACCATATGATCTCACCTATAAGCAGAACCTAACCAACAAAACAAAGATGCAAGGAAAATAAGACCAGCAACACTGAAAGGAAAAGAAACCAACAGAGACACGAGGGAAGGGCCAATCAAGGAACATATAGCAAGGACTCAATGACAAAACCAAAGTGGGGAAGGATTGAGGGATGGAGAAGGGGGAGGGGGCAGGGGAAAGTGGTGGGGGGAAGGCAGAAACAAATGCATTTGGAAAAATAAAAAAATTAATTTTAAAAAATAATAAATGAATGAATGAATAAAAGAAAAAATAAAACTCAAAAAACTATGAGATTATTTTTCCTTTCTCAGTGTCAGATAACATTTACAAAAGATAGAAGGTATGTAAACACCTTTTTCCAATTAGGACAGTATAAGTACATTTGGACCTCTTTTTCCCACTCTCCAGAAGAGCTAATCAGTTACCAAGCCAAATGGGTATGATAAAACAATTCTACTTTTAGGAAATCTTTATTTTACCATTTAAATAAAAGCTTCGTGAAGAGATTCTTAAATATCATTGTGAAAACAGTTTATACAAGCAAGCACCCTGACAAATAAGATATTGTGGAATGATAAAATTACACAAATTGAGCCTAGGTTTTATGATATGTAGACATTTGCCGTCATTTCTAAATTAGTAAAGGATACTGAAAATGTCCATAGTCAATGAGAATAAGGCCTGGATACAGCAATATGCATAATGCATTAGCAACCTGTAAAGAAAAATATTGTGAATGAAGAGAGTAATCTGTTACTTGAATCAAACAGGGTAAAAGTATAGTTTCATTTAATACAGTAGCAAAGGTTCCCCCTCTTTCCTTCTAGTTATCAAAAAATTTCATTTTTATAAAACAATTCTAAACACTACAGTTTTCATGGAGGTAATACCTCATGGATAGGATACCTCAGGAAAAAGAAAAAAATCACTAAAAGGTATCTGTCAGAGAAAGCACTTTAAGATACACAGGTCAGAGAAGTTAATCTAATGCTTGTACTTGTTAACACCAAAAATCACCAAAAAGAGTACTTGTTAACTGTGACTATGAGACGATATAACAGCTTTTCAAAATGCCTTTCAGTTTACTCATTCTCACAAGCTGACTCAGTCCAGATCCCCCATTAAGCAATAAATTCACCTGCTGGGTAATTCAGCAGTGTACAACTTACAGAATTCAGTGCATCTTATTACTATATTTGGGCATTAAAATAATTAAGGCGAGTTTATGTTTTCTAAGTGAAAGTAAATTGACAGAGGTATACAATTCCCTATTAGTATTTATTCCCAAAAGCATGAGTTCCTTAAGCTCCATACTCAATAGTTAAGCTAATAAAATATTTCAGAGGTGAAATGTCTGATTGTTTTAAAACTTACCTTTTTCTTAGTTGACGTTTCTTTTAAACAACAACAGTACAGAACCACTGCAGGTATATAAATCAGCAAATCAGCAATTAACACTGAAAAAAACAGGCAAATGATTTTAATTATGAGACCATCAGAACCAATATACAATATAGTATAGTACGGTCTCCCTCCCCCCATCTCTGAGTGGGAATTCTATTAACACAAGGCCCCCATCCGCTCTGGTCAAGTTCTTTACACGAGAGTCCTTTCTATTCCCTTCACCTCTGTCAAATTTCAACTGACATGGTATTATACAGCCTCTTTTCTTAATATTCTCTAACAAATTCACACATTAAATCGATTAGATGTATCCAAAATTAATTCTCTCTTTGCTCTGACTTGGATTTAACAATTAAGAATACTGAAAGCAAGGAAAGACAACCTTTTTAAATATCTGTATACTCCAAATTTTCTGGTGTGACTACCTCAAATGTGGTGATAGGTGCATAGAAATATTTTTAAACTATTACTTAAAAACACATAAACTTTTACTAATTAATACATATAAAGAACTTGAGAGGCCCAGGCGAGGAGGAAACTTAAGAAATGTTTTTACAAAAAAAGCAATTCATAAGTCTGAATGTCCTATCCTTTTAGACCAAAGAAAAACAAATAATGTACCTTAATTCCTTCAACAGTACAACACGGCTATCCAGAAAGCCTATTTTTTTTCTTGTACTATACAAAATACAGTGTCCAGAATAAGGTAAATGATAGAAAACCGTTAGTGTTCGATGCACGGGATCTGTCTTCTGCTCCACATGCCACATTTAAGATGACACTGACAAACTGAAACATTCCAAGGAGCACGACCAGAGGCCTCAAAATCATAATCGCATTCAGCAGATTGGTCATCTAAGAAATAACTAAAATATCTAAGAATGTCTAACCTGGGGAAATGGTGACTCCAAATGTCCAGGTATTGAGTATATGTGTATAAAGGACCAGACTTGTTCTATCTAGCTCCGGGAAACAGAACCTAAAATAACTAGTGGAGGCTCAAAATAAGAAGGAAATTCTTAATTATTGGGGCTCTCTAAAAATAAAATAGTCTCTAAAGATTGTAAATGCCTGCCCTGGCCAGATAGCTCAGCTGGTTTGGGTGTTGACCCAATATGCCAAGGTTGCATGTTCCATCTCTGGTCAGGGCATATACAAGAATCAATCAATGAATGTATAAATAAGAGAAACAACAAATCAATGTTTTTCTTTCTTTCTCTCTCTCTCTCTCTCCCCCCCTTCCCTAAAATCAATAAATTAAAAAAAAAAGATTGTGAATTTCCTGCAGATACAAGGGAGAACAAAAAAGCCAAAAACAAAAACAAAAAACTGGAATTATCTTCTGGAGAGCGAGCCCCTTGTAGCACAGGCTTCCCACCCCTAGGTGAGTGCTCCAGGAACCCATCAGAAACAGTAAGCCAGCTGGCTTTGTTGTGAAGCCTACTTTAGGCTTCAGTGATTTTTTTTCTGAAGACTCTCAACCCATTCGTGCATTTCATGAGTGATTTACTAGCGCGCCTGCCTTCATGCCGGGTGTGTTCAGAAGTTTTTGACCAAAACAGCATGACTCCCATGCCCCACCCTCCCTACTCACCCAATCTTGCCCTAAGTGACTTTTTTGTGTGTTTGTTTTCCCAGATTAAAAAGTCCCTAAAGGGAAATGTATTGCCAAAGGGGAAGAGGTGAAACAAAAAACAGCAGAAGCACTAAAAGGCATCAAAATCAAGGAGTTCAAAAACCGTTTTGAGCAGTGAAAAAGTCTCACTAGATGTATTACACCAAATGGAGAGTACTTTCAAGGTGACTTAAGCTTAAACAGGTAAGAATAAATACACAATCTTTTATAAATAAATTTCGGTTTTTTGGAGAGCCCCCCACCCCACCCCCCACCCCCCGCCCCATATAGGTATTGGCAAAAAACTAAACAATCCTGTGGCCAGTAAGCAGTTAAAACAGGATTAAAGGCCTCAGTGGGGACTGGGGAGAGGGGTTGGGGAGGGAAAGGCGTGCTCTCAGGCCTGAGATTCCATACCTGGATGAATAATAAAGGGTACAAACTCTACTAAATTTAGTCTAATTAAGGAAAAGTTCCAGGCTATCCTTAAAGTCTAAGTCACATAAAGCTTTTAAAGCAATCTAAGCTTATTACTTTCAACTCTTAGGACAAACACAATTAGTTCTCAATATTTGTTAAATGGATTATTTAATCTAGCAACAAGGCATAGCAACACAATGAATGATATAACACTGTAAAGTTTACTTTAAGAAAAAAGCTAAAGCGATTTGAAATTAGGATATTAAGCAACCGCCTAAACAACTAAAACTTCAATTTACAGCTATCTGACCTCAAGTGAGCTATTCATCTCACCTATGTTTCATTTTCTTCACCTTAAAATAGATAATAATAGTATTTACATCATTTGGGTGTCAAATTAAGTGGGATAATAAATGTAAACCACCCATAATTATTCCTTTCTACTTTTTCCTCTTTTAGATTACAAATACATATTGGTCATGCAATCTACCTATATATGTATATGTATAGTTGTATAGTCTTAAAATAAGTAGGAACAATAATAGAACCTTTTACCAGTTCATTCAAAAAAGTGTTTTAATCAAATTTTTCACTCAATACCTACTGTTCTTTTACCTGTTGCACGCATGAAGAGCTTGTGCGCCTGACTTTCATATCCACGGGAGGTATGGAGAGCAACCCAGGCTGGATTTATAATCTTTGCTCTGCAAATCAAAGTACATATACATGCACTCGCTTTATGCCCCATCACTTTTAGCAATAAGTACATCTGAGGACATATGAATCTATTCTGAGAGGTGCCACTGCTCTTATAAAGCAATAGAGTCAAGGCCTAAGCTTTAGTCTTATTATTTAATCATGTGAAACTGACTTAAGCTATACAACAGTCTGCCTTGCTCACTTCCAACAAAACCTTGTAATAACATGTTACTAAGAACCCTATCTTCACAATTCTTCCAGTGAAAAAACAATCTGATGTGTCACATTTCATTTATTAAACACATATTTTACAAGGAACAATATGCTAGTATTGACCAGAGGATCATGTTTTATACTTTATAATATTTTCAGTCATTGTAACAATCAGCTCTAATAGCTATTAATCATAAATCACTGCATAAAACTAAACATAATTGTTAAAATAAAATAAGCTTTCAATCACATGAAGTTATCCTGAACACTGCAAAATATAACTGATTATCATGTAGTCTGACAACTCGTTTTTAATCCAGGAAGCTAATTTTTATGAAATGTGAAAGAGTCAAACAAATAAGATGAGTTCAGAGGACACTGTGAAGAAGTCCCTCAAACTTCAGCTTACACAGCTCAGGTCTGACACAGAATAGCACTACAGAAGAGCTGTTTCTCCACCAAAGAGTAGTTCCTAAGCCTCTATAAACCATTCCATTTCTGTAAAGGAAGGAATTAACAATCCCAATCTTAAATCACAAGAAAAACACTAGAGTAATTCTAGTTTCTGACTAATTCTAGGTTAGTCAGAATACCATTTGGACCCATATTTTTCATTTACTTTGAGCCATTCCAGAAAAAAAACTTTCCCATGCACAACAAACCACATTAGATATATTTCTCAGTCATCCATGCATAACTGGTAACAACTCTGCTAGATCTTTGCCTTTCTTCTTATTATTATCATTATTATTTTAATCCTCCTCCAAGGATACGTTTACTGATTTTAGAAAGACAGGAAGGGAGAGAGACAGGAACATCAGTGCGAGAGAGAAACGTGGATCACGTGCCTCCTTCATGCACCCCGACCAGGGATCCACCCGCGTCCTGTGTACGTGCCCTGACTGGGAGTCAAACTCGCAAACTTTGGGTGGACAGGATGGCACTCCAATCAACTCGGCCACCCAGCCAAGGCTACATTTTCCCCTTTCTTCCTTGCCTGTCCTCTAAGTGAATTATGCAAATATTCAAACTCTGATAGTTAACTTTTTTACAGCCCAATTGTAAAAATATAGTGCTTTCTCTATAAACTATAATACAATAGTAGCTATAAACAATCTCTCTTCTATTCAACAAAGCCAAATCACACTGTTCCTTACTATATCTGGTAAGGATATAAATATTTAGTTACATTAAGAAAGAAGAACTTACACATATGCACATAAAAGACTGTGATAAGCGGTAAGAGGTGGATAATCCAATCCCCAATATAGTAAATTGTTATCACTGCTGTTAAAATACCTGGGGGAGAAAAAAAGAAAAAGCACCATTCCATTAATCAATATTCAGGACATAGACTTATATTTAACATCTCATCTAATTTAATTAAAATGAAAAGATATGTTAGATGAGTTAAAAAATCCATCCAAACTTTGTCTTTTCCCCTTCTAAAAATTTTTATGAACTCACAATTAAGAGTTGTTATTGAGTAGAGTAACTAATTAATTTATTGTCTAAACCAACATACTCTTGAGAGTGAAAGAGAAAGCTATCAACAATTAAGCCATAACAATAAGATGTAAACCAAGATTTTTCTAGACAAACCAGAACTTATCACTCAACTATTACTAGACTTAATCAATGACGAACACTTAATAAAATATGTAACAACAAAAAACAAATTGCTTCTTATAGTCTAACAAATTAAAGAAAATATAAAATCACAATCTTAAAAAGTAAAAAATGAATATCAAAAAACACAAAGATTTTGTTTACAGAAGGAGAAATACTTCCTGAAACAGGTAGAAGACCCTGAAAACAAGTCAACCAACATGTAATGAGAGCCTATGTTTTGCAAGATTCTGTGAATTAAAGAAGAAAACTAAGTCTAACATTCATAAACTAATAGGCTCCTCCAGATGGCCAGAATGGGAAGAAACTATAATTCTTTGACTCAAGAAATAAAAATGAAATTTACATAAAACAGATTTCTTCATAATATCCATTATAACTAGTCAGCTTCTTCTATCCAATTTATTTGTTCTCAGTCATAAGAATTTATACCAATGGAGACCAAACTATGTAATTCACAAATAACCATCATTCATAATAAGCCTGTTTCAAATGGGTAACAATTCCTCAGCATCACAATCTCTTACTTTAGGATTAAGAAAATTTATTAAATTAGCATTCATCATGATCCCTAGTCAGTTAATGTTCATTTCTTAATGTCAGTCACATAAAATGTAGGTTTAAATGAAGGGAACTGGGATTAATAAAATGATCAAAGTGTGCTAGACAGCCAAGAGATCTGGGCACAGTGTGCTAAGCATGGTACGATCTGGTGGCGGTTATCCACTGCAGCAGCAAAATCCACGAGAATAATCCTGGACCCTATATCTGGCTGAGACATGAAAGCCAAGAGTCAGTGAATCCAAGAATTTCCATGTTAAGTGGAGCCCCTTTAGACAGTTGGAAACTGGGAAACTGGGCCAGCCAATAGTGGAGACCAGAGGACCCACCTCTCTTAACCGGGTTGCCAGAAGACAGGCACCAATTATGTTATTTCCAAATCCGTGTTACTACAGGGCACATTATCATAAAGTTGTATTACATTTACCTCATAGAGAGAGCTGTTAAAGGATTGAGTTAAACATGTAAAGCTGTTAAGTCACTCCCTGACACAAAGTGAGTGCAAAATAGTAGTTTTAACTGATTGTTAGTCTCAAAACAATTGGATGAATATAGCAAAAGAAAACTATCAAAAAAGTCAAGAATCACATTTTGAGCAGTACAATTGGATTTGGTTTTCGGCTTCTTATAAGGCAAAAGCTAATTTTCATTACTTTAACCTTGAGATCCACTGGAAATAACTAAAAGAGGTGCTGATAGTAAGCTGTAAGCATACAAAGATACATACTAACAGTATATGCTAACAGATATATCCTAACTGGTTGGACTGGGAAGAAGAAAGGATAGGGTTAACAACTATGCTCCCTATTCTTATGGAAATACATAAACAGGAAAAGAGAAATGACTGAAAAAGAAACTTAAAAGTGTTCAAGTAAAGCTTCAAAATCTACCAGTGGAAACAAAGTAACTAGTAACAAGACAAAAAATATTATGAATGTACTAATAATCTCAACAGTGGTGTTCACTGGTTAAATCAATGTCTGGGGATCTGACCAAAGCAATCAGCAGAACAACATGAAGATTTTGTACAGACAGTGTCTAATAAAATAATCTACCAGGTATCCAATAAAGTCAATAAATAATATCCTCAATTATTATCATAACATGTTCAATAAAAATGATAAAGCATGAATTTCTGTAACAATATAACCACAGCAAACATTTACTGAGAGCTCATTACATTGCAGGCACTGGTCTAAGTGCTTTACATGTATCATTTTATTCAATCCTCACAATAACCCAGTGAAATATGCATTCTATTATTTCCATTCTACACGTGACAAAAATATGTAGCAGAGAAAGTTAAATAGTTGCCAAAGGTCACACTGCTTGTAAATAAATAGTAGAGCCAGGATCTAAACCCAGGGGGTCTGACTGTAGCACCTACACTCTTCACCGCTCAGCTACTCCTTTTCCGCATCTCATCAGTCCCTAACAGAGAAACTTGGTGAAACCGCCACAGGAAGTATTTTTAGCCCATAAACTTCCACGGTTTACATCCAGCAGAGCTTCTAAGGCATGGAGTATTATATCATCAAAGTCCTAGTGCAGTACCGTATCCCAGCTGGTTTCAGGGGTATGATATTCAAAACGGGCCTACATTTTGGTAACATGCAAGGTAAAATATGTGACATCAGTATACAGGAAGATGAGGATGCTCAAGATGAAAAAAGTAGTAGCATTTTCCTTTTAAATATCTTCAAACAATCTATTTTAATTGACTATAATAAACAATGAAATCAAATTAAAATTGTCCATACCATTGTTTGATTGGTAAATTAAAAGTAATTTCTTGCCAGTGCCTCTGAGCTTCATAATCACCAAACATAGGGGGTTTTCCAGCACCTAACGTGAAAAGTAAAAAGGGCAAAACAATAATATACTTTAGTATATCAGTGATTTTTATTTCCTTATGAAAATGTTCTAAATTACAGAGATAGCATAGGTAAAGAACACAGAAGTAACCAAAAAATTTACATTCTTTTTAAATTCAAAAGATTTGAGTTCCTGACTTTCCACTTACTGAATGTGCAACATTAAACAATTTTGGATGGCAGACACAGTTAATTATGCCACAGCTACTTTGTCCATATATTGGCTCTTGCCCCAGAACATTTTTAAGATACTGTCTGCCAGTGAAATCCCAAGCCTCTGCTCATGCTTCCTACTCGCTATTCATACACCTCTTCTATAAACTCATATCCAACCTACAAAAATCTTAAATTCCAAATTCTCCATGAAATCTTTCCTTATAAATTAAAAACATATTGATCATTAATACTGACTTCTCAAAATACTTACATTGTCAGTCTCATATATTTTGTCACATGACTATACTATTTAGTTTCTATGATTTTCCAGAGTTCAAAGGAAACATATTGCTAGGAAGATCATACATACTTTCATTAAAAACTTCCTTAATCAACTGGGGTGACTGGGGGCAGAGGGGAAGGGGGAATAACGTACATTTTTTAAAAGATTTTATCCACTTATTTTTAGAAAGGAGGGAGAGAGAGAGAGAGAAACATCAATGTGTGGTTGCCCCTTCTGCACCCCCTACTAGGAACCTGGCCTGCAACCCAGGCCTGTGTCCTGACTGGGAATCGAACCAGCTCCCCTTTGGTTTGCAATCTGCTCAGCCACCCCACCCAGGGTTAATTTTTTTAAAAGGTAAAATAATTTCCCATTGAATTAATCACTTTTTTGTATATATATTTTATAGGTGCGTGTATACATCTTGTTTTTGGAATACAGCCATTGTCTATAGGGGAAAGGAACTGATTTTTATTTCTTGTTTCTTTTGTCTTTATTTGTTTATTTTGGGTCCACAGGGATAATAAAAGTCAGAGAGAATCTTAAATAATTTCTTATACCTGAAAAAAATCTGGCTTTCTAGATTTTCTGAAATTGCTCTAGACTGGGGTCAAATGTGGAAGAATTTATTACCATTCTCTAACAAATAGAAGAATGGATAATGACTCTCTTTAGGGTTGAGAAACAAGTTTCTATCCAGAGTCTGACCTACTTCAATAAATTCAGCTGACACTGGCTATGAAATTAGTACTTAAGTTTTTAAAACTGCTAAAGTGCCCTTAAAGCAACCCAGAAGGACAACCCAACTGTACCTACGGGAGCTTCACTTGGGAAGGGCAAAAAGAATTCCTTCCACTGTGATTAATTCTACAAATTCATTTACGCGAGATTCAAAATTGCAAAAAGAAAACATACTCATGTATTTACAAAGCTTCAATTTAGTCTCATTCTCAGGGAAATGGGCTTAAGCACCACTTAAATATTCATTAACTGCTGAATTATTCAAAATTATGTTAGAATTTAAGAAAAAAAACAAGTAGTTTCTTTGAAAACAATACATACTCCTTGCCTTTACATGGAAATTTTAAACATCCTAAGAGAGGAAAAATTGGCTAAAATTTTCCAGAATAAAATCCCCTTTTTATGTGTTCCTGGTGAGTAAAAAGAAGCATTACAGCCCAGGCTGGTGTGGCTCAGTGGACTGAGTCCCAGCCTGCGAACCGAAAGGTCACTGGTTTGATTCCTAGTCAGGGCACATGCCTGGGTTGTGAGCCAGGTCCCCAGTTGGGGGTGTGCAAGAGGCAACTGATTGATGTTTCTCTCCCTCTGTCTCCCTCTCCCTTCACCTCTCTCTAAAAATAAATAGTCTTCAAAAAAAGAAGAAACATTACAAATAGGAATAAAGCTGAGAGAAATTAACCAACTACATAGAACACAGACATACTTTAAAAATAATTAATATTTTGCAAAAACAAAAAACAACAACAACAACAAAAATTCCCTATGACTTTTTCTTCCTAAACAGCCAATAGAGCTTTGGAGAGAAAACAAAAACCAAACAGAAAACTGGTTATTGAAGTTGATTCAAGTGTTGCTATTTGCTCTAAAATCATTGGTAACACTTTAGATCCAGTATAGAGGAGTTGTGAATCTCTGCAAGATATGATAAACAATCAATACTAAAATCAAAATTTGTCCCTTCTCATGGCTTGTTTAAAAGCAACAAGTAATATTTATTCAATATGTTTAGGTCTATAAAAACGCTAATTATATAAGCAGAATGTATATTTATATCCCTTACATATATGTAAATATATATGAAAAATGCACCAAAAGTTTGTGGGTTCAGTTCCTAGTAAGGACACATAGTTAGGGCGCACATTTCATCCCCAGTCAGGGCATTTGAATTTGATGTGTCTCTTACATCAATGTTATATGTATATTTATTTTAAAAAATTTAAAGCAAACTAAAATAAGAATGTCAAAAACAAAGTATAACCTCCCAAAAAGTACTGTATTTAATAGAGGGGAAAATTCTTAGTGGAATCGCAGATGTTATACTTACTCATTAACTCTCCCAGCCTCCTATAACACCAAAGTTCTTCACATGTAAATGCTAAATCACTGCCTACAAAAGATGCCTATATGTATTCTACTAATGTGTAAGAACAACACTTTTCTTATACAATAATCCAAAAGTAGTCTTGTTCTGTTGACGTTCTTATGGGACAATTTAAGAGCACAGATGCTAAAATCTAGCAATATATTTTTTTTTAAAAAGGTAATCTTGGTTTCCTCTACCATCCAAAAGTAGAGCATCCCTATGAAAAGTTTCATAAGCTGAAATGGTGTAAAGCAAAGAGCATCCCCCACTTTCCAAAAGTTCGTGTTACCCCATTTTTACAAAAGACCTATATTAGTACAGTAAACGGCTTTTTTTGTAAACAAAAATCTTCACATTTCTTTCAGATAGCAAAAACAGGTACTAATATATAATTAGGGTTATTTTAGGAATGCAAGGTTGGTTTACCGCTAGAAAGAACAAAAATATACTCAATCATGAATTGAAGGCACCCATTAAAATTAGGAGCAAGATAAAGATGCCTGAATCGCTACTTCTATTCAACACTGCAAGGTTGGGAAATGTCCCGCCTGGTTTCAGGGGCTGTAGCCTTGCCAATAGGCAAGACGGCCCCAAGGTTGGAACTGAGCAAGGAGGCCTTGGGAAAATAGGCCACTGAGGAGACAAAACCTGCCACCCTGGCAGGGGTGCAGCCCTGCCTCCCTCACGTCACCCTGCTTGGCCCTGGAGGATGGCTGGCTAATCAATGATGGGTAAGACTCCTTGACGGCAGGGGCAACCTGCCACAGTCACATAGGGACCATCAGGGAAGGACTTGGGGGATGGAGAAGGGGCAAAAGACCCTCCCCCCTCAGCTTTGTTGGGTCCAAAGTCTTTGTTCTATCTGAAAGGAGTCTCCTTATCTCTTGGCTGCTCTGCTCCACCTGCCTGACTCCAGCCTAAAACAATATGAGAGGCAGGTACAGCCCGAATCTGCATCAGGTTCGGAGGCAATTAGGCCTGGAAAAGGAATGCATCAAATCCTATGAACCCTGCAACCTGCTTTGCTAAGAATGCCCTCGGGTTAATGAGTAATGGTGTTTGGGGTTAGAGCATAGGATAAGTTTCTTTTCCTAGGTTGTAGGGCCAAACGGGCGCCACTCTGTTTACTGACCCTGACTAAGAAAGACTCTTGTAATCCCTTTACTATTATTCTTAAACCATATCTCCTTCCTTTAATCATTATTGTTTAACATTGATTGATAAGCTTTGCATGCGAGTATGCCTTATACCCCTGGGCAAGTCATACGGTCTTACGGTTCTCAATAAAAGCCACTTCAAGAAAAGGGCTCGGGGCATTCTCCACGGGAGGGAATCACCACCTCCTCTACAGACAGGCAGATTGTGTCTCGTACAGTTTATTTCTTCATCTGTGGCAGCCAGGGGGCGACTCTGCGGAATGGAGCTCCCCCTTCACCGTAATAAGGTACTAGCAATAAAAAAATTACAAGATTTAAAAAAAAATTAAAAATATAAGTAGTAGAAAGTAAGAAATAAAACTGTCATTTGCCCTGACTGGTGTAGTTCAGTGGGTTGGACATCGTCCTCCAAACTGAAAGGTCGCCAGTTCAATCCCCTGTCCGGGCACAGGCCGGAGTTGCAGGCCAGGTCCCCAGTGAGGGGCTCATGAGAGGAAACTGATTGATGTTTCCCTTACACATCATGTTTCTCTCTCTCTCTCTCTTGCTTTCTCTCCCTTCCACACTCTGAAAGTAAATAAATAAAATCTTTTATTAAAAAAATTGTCTTTAGTCCCAGATCATTTGGTTTTTTACACAGAAAATCCAAAAGAGCCTTCAGATGAATTATTAGAAATATGAGTTTAGAAAGGAGCCAACGACATTTTTATATGCCAAGAACAAACATTTAGAAATGCACATTTAAAAAAGATACCATCTACAATAGTGAGGGTTATATATATAATATTATATTATACATAATATGAGGATTATATAACCTAGGACTATATATATATATATATAATATGTATACATAACCTAGGAATACCTCTAGGAAAGGGCGTGTAAGCCCCTTACATGAAAGAGCAATTTTTAACCAGTGTGACGCAGCAGGTACACTGTTATGTCACAAAAATTTTATTTTTCCCAAAAGAATTTTTAAAACATGTAATATCTGACTATTTTATCAGGGGCACTGATCTCTTTTCCCTTAGATTGTCAAATAAAAAAATGACAACAACCAACACAATAGCCGTCAGGTGTTAATGAATCAAAATTATACCAATTTTTTGTCAGATCGGCAAAAAATATATTTTTTGGTGTGCTACAGAATTTTAGTAATTAGCTTATATGTGCCATGAAATGAAAAAGGTTGAAAATCACTAATATAGAAAATTATAAAAGTTTATCGAAAAGTGTTAAAGAAGACTTAAATAAATGGAGAAACACAGCCTCGTAATGAATTAGAAGTCCTACTATGGTAATGATTGCTAATTCCCCACCCCACCCCACCCACACACACACACACACACACACACACATTAATGAAAAGTATTGAAGAATGTAATTCCAATCAAAATCCCAACAGGGTTTTTACTGGACTTTGACAATCTGACTTTTTAAAAGGACCTATATGTATATATTAGCTTTCTATTGCTATATAACAATTAATACAAACTTAGCAACTTAAAACAATAATCTTTTATAATCTCACAGAGTTCCACAGGTCAGAAGTCTGGACTTAACTCAGTTCTCTGCTCTGGGTCTCATAAGACCAAAATAATATATCAATGATTCTGAATTCTTATCTCAAGGGCTAGGAAAAGAATCCACTTCCAAACTCACTCAGGCTATTGGCATCATTCAATTCCCTCAGTTACAGACATGGGGTTCCCTTGCTGACTGTCAGCTGGGGGCTACTTTCTGCAACTGAGAGGCCACTTGTATTCTTTTTCACATGGCCCTCTCCACTGTCAACCAGCAGGTGTCTATGCTTTCAGTCTCTCTGGAGTCCCCTTCTGCCACCATCTGGAGAAAGTCCTCTGCTTTGAAGGCCTCATATGACTACCTGCATATCCCGGGATAATACAATGCAGTCTCCTTATCTTAAAGTCTGCTATTCCATGTAAAGAACAGAATCACTCCCAACTGAAAGCTCATCATTTTCATAGGTTCTGGGGATTAGGGCAGGATATCATGAGGGAAGGGAAGCATTTTTAGGAATTCTGCCTATTATAGTATGAAAGAGCAAAGCCCAGAACACTTAAGACACTCCTAAAGCAAAACTACCAGATGGGAAGACATACTTCAACATATCAAGACTTAATGTAAAATTACAGGAAAAAGACACAGCAATATTGAACCCACCAATGCATAAGAATGGAGAGTCAGAAACAAACCCATGTATATATGAAAACCTAATATAGAGCTGGTTAGCTTCCAGAATATATAAAACACATTAAGCTGGTAATGCAGATTAGTGGAAAAGAATGGACTACTCAATAAACGAGTTGGAACAACTAATTATCCATCTGAAAAAAATTTTAAACAAAACCCTATCTCTCATGTTATACAAAAAATTCAATTCTAAGGAAGTATGAAAGATAAATCTTAAAACTTTTAGAAGATAATTTTAGGAAAATATCTTTGTGGTTTTCCTAGGAGTAGGGAAGGATTTCTTAAAGATACAAAAAGCAAAAATCATAAAGGTAAAAGATTGATAAATTTCATTACCTTCAATCAAAAACTCCTATACAGCATAGTGAATACAGTCAATAATACTGTAATAACTATGTATGATGTTAGGTGGATACTAGACTTATCAGGGAGATCACTTTGTAAGTTATATAAATGTCTAACCACTATGTTGTACACCTGAAACTAATATAATATTGAATGTGAACTGTAATTGAAATTTTTAAAAATAAAAGTAAAAAATTTAAAAAAGCATTGAAAACCTAAAAAAATTAAAAACTTCAGTTCATCAAAAGACAACTTAAAGTGTGAAAGGATAAGCCATAAACTAGAAGATACTTGCAACTTGTACAAAAGTTAGCTTCCAGAATATATAAAACACATTAAGAAAAAAAAAACAACAACAAATATAAAGAATATATAAGGAAAAAATCTAATAGAAATGTGCAAACAACATAAGCAAATATTACAGAAAAGAAAAACACAAATGACCAAAACAAAAAACATGTTCAATCTTAAATTCAAATTAGGAAATTTAAATTAGAACTACAATAAATATCATTTCACATACTGCAACCTGGCAGTAAGTCAAAAGTTTAACACTACCAGATGTTGTGAAAAATGTGGAGTAACTGGAACCCACCCCCTGGGAACTGCGTCCACATCAGAAAGTCTTTGAATGGACGGCCGAGATCAAATTTCCTCTGGGAATTGGCGTAAGTATTTTCTAGTTCATCTCCTGCACTTGTTTTACTCTACATCTGAAGATGAGATGAGAGCTTAAAGAGAAATAGGACAAAAACGACCTGCCTGTTTGGTTCTAGCCAAGAAGAAGAGTCGTGCAATTGGCCCAGCCTGTTCACTAGAGAGCGGCGCTTAAGTATGATGTTGGGGCCTAACCCTTAACTAAGTATTCTCTGTGACCAGCTGAAGATGGATTTATGTGTTCTGTGCCTTTGGACGAATTCTAATCTCTCAAAATTCACCCTTCGTAATATGACTAAAATACACCCAAATCCAACTCATCCTTCAAACCTGTACTCAAACATCATTTCTAAAAAGTCTTCTCTAATACATTCGGATCGTTTACTTATCTGCTACCTTTGTACCTCACACGTACTTCTATGTTACATAATTATCGCACCGTGTTGTAGCCACTTATCTACAAAAACCTGGGCCCTCTAAGTATTGGATATTCGTTTTGTATTTCTAAAACTTAGCACAGTGCCCGGAACCCGAGAGGTGCTAAATACGCACAGGGTTCAATTTAATCCCACCTCCAGGCTCCAGGTCCACTCTCCATCAATTCTCCCTCCCTTTCTCTCCATCACTCCCAACCTCCTTCTCCACTGATCTCTTCCTCTCAATCTAGTGTCAGGCTTTCTCGGCCCTAAACAAAACAAATAAACAAACACAAGCTTCCTTTGATTCTACTCCCGCTTGAAGTACTAGCTCATTTCTCTCTCCAAAACCTAGTACATAAAAACTGCAGGCCATTTTAGCCACATTGCAAAGCCCGTGCCTCTATTAAGCTCTTACACAAATTCTTTTTATTAGAATTAGATGTTTAAATGTATTTTCTTGAATGTACCAATAAAACTTGAAATTCTCCTTTGTCCCATTTAGAAAGCCGTACCAGGGATGTCCAACCAGTAGGTCACGTGCGGCTCAGGATGGCTATGAATGCGACCCAACACAAAATTGGAAATTAACTTAAAACGTTATGAGATTTGCTTGTAACCACATGTCGCAATGTATTCAATGTGTGGCCCAAGACAACTCTTCTTCCAGTGTGGCCCAGAGACGCCAAAAGGGTGGACACCCCTGCCTGAGTGTAAACTACTACCAAAATAGAAATAAACAAAAACTATTCAAAGGCATATTTACCAATCTTTTAAACAGTAAAAATGTGTTACCTGAATAAGAGTTAAGAGAAACTGTCCACCGTACTGTTAGTCCTATTAAGACCACAGTTGTCATCAAGTACCATTTCTCCATGTTTCTCCAAATAGAGGCAGGAAAAACCAGGACCACTGCCAGGCCACTTTTAACGCGCAGTCAGTCACTTCTTTTCTTGATCAGGGAACGCTGCCAAGTGTTTGGAATTAGGAGTTTGGGAAGATTTTAAATGATGCTTCGTTTCCAAACAGTTAAATGTTGATTTTTTTTTTTTTTTTAATATCTGTGAAGAAGTAGCCTGCAGGGGGAAAGAATAAATATCAAGATTTAGCTGAGCATAATGCTTATAACAAGGAATCCGTTAAACCAAGTAGAAAGATGTAGAATTAGGGAGGGGGGAGGTTGGGGGACCCAAAGGAAAGGGGGTAGTTTTAATTCCCTTATTCCTTAGCCCTCTATTTGGGAAATAGACCTCAAAAGGTAACTCTCCCCGTTAAATGGGACTCAATATATCACAAGATAGAGGAAGGATCTGCTCTTACAAGTGAGTATTTCTGAGTGTAGAAAAACAATAGAGGTACGTAGATAATAGAACATTCAATTCTACCAAGAGCATGTTCACCTACAGGTAAAAATAAGACCACAAAGGTAAACAAAGGGGTGATTTATCTTTGAAATGGAATAAAGAGGAATTTTATCTTTCTATTTAGTTGAGAAAGTCTTCCGATAATTTATGTCGTTTGATTTTTTACTTCTTTTCTTCAAAATTGACTTGTACTAACTGTATCAACTTTCCATCTTAGAGAATGAACCTTTGCAACAATCAGAAAGAATAGCCTCAACTCTGAAAAAAATACAAAAAGCAGTAAAATGCAATTAACCACTTACATATTTTTCCCCCCACTTTTCCTCATGGGGGTTTTAAAATTAGAAAGCTTTGAAAATCTGAGCCAATGCACTAGGTCATTGTATCACTTTCACCTCTGTTCAAACTGATTCTCAAAACCGATCCCAGTTCCCTGAAAAAAGTTGGAACAATTCCTTTTGCCTGTAAAAATCCTGGCCATTCTTCAAAGTTCAATTGAAGTTCAGCCTCCTCAGTAAAGACTTCCTTGATCATCCCCAAAGCTTTCTCCCCGACTTCTGAACATATCCAGTCAACACTGTCTATACCATTTTTAGTAAAAAGAATATTTCCAATCCATAAATTAGGATCTAAAAACAAAAACAAACAAACAAACAAACAAAAAAAAAGTGGGACCATTTTAACCATAGGATATATATTTTTAAATATACTTTTAAAATACAATTAAATAAATTAACTGAAAATTAGGGAAAAATTGGCACATTCCATCAATAGATGGGCAAAAAATATTTTCTTACTCTAGAACCAATGAAGTCCAGCATCTGAATCAGGCAAAATAACACAAAGCATTTAGTAAGGCTATGTAACTATATTTTTCATATTTGGGTTATATAAATCCCCTCTTCCCTTCTACTACATCCATCTTTTATCATTTTTCTGTTCACTAAAACTTTTATCACAGAGGTAAAATAAGAGAAAAAATTAAAATTAAATCACTTTTTAATGTTGCTTCTGGGTTTGACAAGATTATACATCGTTACAAGCTATTCAAATTCTCTTTTAGTCTAACTCAAAAAGCCCCTTTTATCAACATTCTCCACTATATATTCCAAAATTGCAATATAACACTCTACTTTTTGCTTAGATGTCACATTTAAAATTGACTTTACAAGTGCTGATTCCTAGATTTAAACATATAGCTTAACAAATACTCTGTCTAGGAAATTTAAATCACTAATATGACCAAGTTAAATCAATTATCCACAGCTTCAGATAATCATATTTAGTACTTCCCCATGAACCAATAAACTACCAATAACACTTAATAATCACAATGAACTTAAGAACATAATACTTAACTAATATCATGCTGACCAAGTTTGTTAATCACACAATGATGGAAGGGATAACTAACCTGTGCACTAAAGAATCATATCCAAAGAGGTATGGACAACATCTATGATGGACCGAATCTAACTCCAGAAATCATGCCTGGGATAAATTAAATTAAATTCAAAAGCACTTAACTAATGCACTTAAACAGGAAAAAACGAACCAACAAAAATCAACTACATGGGAACTGAAAAAGAGGCAACAGATAATAGATGATTAATTATCAGTTCTGTATGGACCTAGAATTGATCACCAATGTTACCGGTATTTTGATTAATTATTAGAAAATCTTTTCTAACAATTAGGGTTGTCCACCCTGGCCAGGTAGCTCAGTTGATTAGAGCGTTGTCACAATACACCAAGGTTGTGGGTTCGATCCTCAGTTAGGGCACATACAAGAAGCAACCGATAAACCATAAATAAGTAGAACAACAAATCGATTTGTTGTTCTCTCTTTCCTCCTTCCTTCCTCTCTCTCTTCCCTCCTTCCTCTTTCTCTTCCCTCCTTCCTCTCTCTCTCTCAAATCAATAAATTAAAAAAAAAATAATACAGCTGTCCAAACATGAAATGAGCTTCTTGAGAGAGGAGTTCCTCTTTAACAGTTTCCAACACAAGCTGAGCAACTACTTCACAATATTTTTAAAGAGTAGAATAAATGACTAATTTATAAAGTGCCTTCCAAAGTGATTCTGGAAGCATATTATGTATCTGAATTAATATAAATCCTGACTATAGAAAAGAAGATCTGGTCTCTCCACATGTTAATGTTTCCCCTAATTCCCAATAGTTGCCCAATACTGTCACATTTAAAGGGTTTATTTGATGAGTAAAATGGATAGGCCTTCCCATCCTTCACAAGTGACTCATGTTAGAAACTGAAGGATATCAAAAATATCTCTTCCTGACATCTACTACGTTGAGAATAAACTCCAAATACCCTAGCCATAAGACTCTCTATGATTTGACCCCTGCCTGCCTCTCCAATTTCATCTCCTTCTCCTTTCCCACAAGTACGTCCTCTCTAGAACCTGTCAGGTTCACTCACACCTCATTTCCTTTCCACTTCTATTGCCTCTGCTTGGAATGCTCTTAACGCAACTCACTGGCCAATCTTTTGTCCTTCATGTTATACCTCAAGTCATTCTCTCAAAAGATCATCCCTGACCACACCACAAAGGTTTCCAGCTCTTACTGTTTGTACTATTACCTTCTTTAATTTTCTTCCTAATTCTTTCCACCATCAGAAATTATATTTTCACACAACACAAAACAATCTCATGAACATAATTATAAGAAAAGCTAGACACCATAAGATATATTTCATTCCACTTATGAAAGCCTCTTAAATAGGTGAAACTAATCTACGGTGGTAGAAATCAGGAAAGAGGTTATTAGGAGAAAAGAGGGAATGGAATAGGCCTTCAAGGAGTTCTTCTGAGAAGATGCTATAAAGTTTTGTTTCTTGTTTTGAGTGGTGAATAAATGATAAGTCAGCAAGTTACAACCTATGATCTGTGTACAGTATTATCTTGTACATGTTATATCCCAATTAAAAGGTATAAGAGGAAATTACTTTTTATTTTTTTGTCATCTAGAATATAAATATGCTCCACGCAAGCAGGGAGGGATCCTGCTGTCTCGGCTGTTGCTTTGTTCCCTGCACTTATCAAAAGGCTGACAGAAAGCAGGTACCCACTAAGTACAGGCTGGCTGTGCCCCTTCCCCCCACCCACCATGGTTCAACTTAGGATTTTCTTTTTTATTTTTTTTAAGATTTTATTTATTTTATTTTTATAGAGAGGGGAAGAAAGGGAGCAAAAGAGGGAGAGAAACCTCAATGTGGGAGTGATACATTGATAGGTTGCCTCTCGCATGCCCCCCAACTGGGAACCCAGCCTGCAACCCAGGCATACGCCCTGACTGGGAATTGAACTTGCAACTTTTCAGTTGACAGGCTGGCATGCAATCCACTGAGTCACACCAGCCAGGCCTCCACTTAGGATTTTCAACACTTCCATAGTGAGAAACCTATAAGCATTCAGTAGAAACCATACTAAAATTTTGAATTTCTATCTTTTCCTGGTCTAGTGACATGCTCTACGATTCTCCTAATGCTGGGCAGCAGCAGCCAGACCACCTGCAGCTCTCTGTCAGCCACACCATCACAAGGGCAAACAATCCATACTCCAGTGTGCGCTCCTGTATTGCCAGCGTCTTTTGGATTTTGTTTTCACATCCCATGTGCACAAAACCACCTATGTTTCTTGCTTTTGGTGAGAAGGGGAAGACAATTACTCTTGAGATGAAACTCAAGATACTTGCCCAGCTGTAGGCTAATATAAGTGTTCTGAGCAAGTTTAAGGTAGACTGGGTTATAATGTTGGGTAGTTTAGGTGTATTAAATGTATTTTCAACTTAGGATGGGTTTAACGATGGGGTTTATCTGGATCTAACCTCAGTCCTGTAGGAGGAGGTCCTATCTTTGCTGAATGGTGATCTTCACGTGTGAAATGGGGAGGTACCTAGTTTTACTGAGTCCTTAATGGTTTAAGATATTAGCTGAGACTCTTCTTGTACAGTAAAAAGGGTTCATTATTAACTTGCATCTATAAAGCAAAATACAGTAACTTTCGAACCCATCCACCGAGCCAGGAAGTTGCCACGCTGGTGGCTGAGTGTTCCAACCGGCTTTGCTCTGACAGCGCGTCACGACGTGAGAAAAGCCGGCCGCTCACTTCCCAGGGCCGAATTTGTTCCTTTTAGCCTGAAAGTTCCTTCCTCCAAGGAAGATAAAACATCCAGGGAGTGCTACTATCCCAGGTGAGCAAACCTCGCAAAAGGGGCCCCTCCTGACGCCACCCCCTCCGCCTTTTTCCAGCGGGCCAGACCCTCAGAACCGCAGGAACACGGGACCAAGCCGCTCCAGCCAAGGGGGTCCCACCACTATCATATCACCGCGTCCCCCAGGCCAGGCTCGAGCGAGCCGTACGCTGGGCTGTGGAAGCCTGGACGCAGCCCTTTTCAATGAAGAGAAGCTGGGAGCCCAGTCGCTAGCGGCGCGCAGCTCGGCGCAGGGTAGCGACGTGCCGCGACTCCCAGCCCCTCCCCACCCTGGCCTGGCAGTCCAGAACCCCAGGCCGGGATCCTTACCCCACCGCCCGCTGCAAGTTCAGACTCGCGCCTGCCGCGGATTCCAAGAAGGCGCCTGCGCGCTCGTCCCCGCGGCCAGGGCTCCTCCGGCCTTCCGTCTCCGCTTGCTCGCTCCCGCCGGGGCGCCCGGCGCGGGAGCGAGCCCGTCTAGCGTGAAGGGAGGGGCGGGGAAGAGGCGTGGAGAGGAGGCGGTGGACTTAGGAGGCGTGACACGGGAGGCTGGAACTCGAGAGGCCTGCGATCCCGGGTTATGCTAGGGGCAGGTGGAAAGCCCCTTGCTCTTCTTTCCTGGGATCGCGGCCAAAGCCTGCTGCTTAGTCCACGAATTCCTGCCAGGGGCGCGTCTTGGCTCGCTTCACGGAGAGAGCCCTTAGCTGGTTCTCATCAGCAGCAGTAGGTCTTCTGGGCCTGTGTCCTCGAGAAATCAAAAAGCCAACCTGCTTCACTTTCTTCAAGCTACCTGCCTGCGAAAAAGAATGTATTAAGGCTAGGAAGGCACTTCACGTAAGAAAAGTTATTGAACATCCGACCATTTTCAACAACCTGAGGGTTATGTAGAAGAGCAGCTCCGTCCTCCAGTAGCCACTGCACCTTCCCCCATCAGGCAGCTTTTCCAAACCGCCTAGCTGCCTATCTGCCAAAAACAACTACATTTTCTCCTAGTTCAGAGAATGCTTTCATTCCTCCCTTCTAAATCCTGCCATTCTGTATAAGCACACCCCTCTAATTTGTAATCTGTAGGTGTCAGCAAATATCTGGCTATGGCTTTATACTATGCAGGTGTAAACGGCTCTGGATCTTGTTTCTTCATCTGTGAAATGAGTGAGTGGGGCTAGGTAAACTTCCAGATATAAAATGTTATCCTATATTTTAAAAACCGTGGGCCGGCCCTTGCTGGTGTGGCTCAGTGGATTGAGTATCAGCCTGCAAACCAAAAGGTCTCTGGTTCGATTGACAGTCAGGGCACATGCCTGGGTTGCAGACCAGGTCCCCATTTGGGGGACCGTGAGAAGCAACCAGACATTGACGTTTCTTTCCTTTTCTTTCTCCCTTCCCCTCTCACTAAAAATAAAACAAATAAAATCTTAAAAAAAAAAAAAAAAGACCATCAGCACTGGAAATATGGACAAATATGGCCAAGCCTCTGCCCTCTAGATCCTTAATTCTTATTGGGAAGACATTTTCATAAAAGGATACAAAGCTATAGAAGAGAGCATATGCTAAGTGCAGATTATTGTTATATGCATTAAGCACTATAGGAGTTCAGAGAAAAGGGTTTACTGTAAACAAAAACTATCAGGAAATACTCTTTCTGGAAGAGTCAGCTGAGCTTTGAAGGAAAGCCTGGTCTTCCATAAACCAAGAGGATGGGAATAGAACTTTAGACAAAGGAAAGCGTCCAAGCCAAATTTGTGGCAGCTGAAAAGTGCAGAACACTTCCTCCAGTTTACATGGTGGGTGATGAAACTGGAAAGGAATAATTATGGAAATACTGGAATACCAGGCTGTGGTGTTTGGAATTTATTCAATGATCAGTAAGAGGCCATTAACTTACCTTTAGCCAGAAGTCCATAATCAAGTGTTAAAGAAAAATTAAGGTGATTATGGATAAGATGATTCAGAGGAAGAGGTAAAAATCATTATGGTAGTCCTCATATGATTAGACAAGGGTCTGGACTGAGATGGTAATGCAAGAGGAAGAATGTACAAGTCTTGGTAACATACTAATTATGTAGAAAAAGTGAAGCAAAAGAGGGAAAAGTCAAGGAGGGTTCCCAAGATTTCAAGTCTGAGTTACTAGAGATCTCAAAGACCTAGGGAATCCTAGAGGAGAAGCTAACTTAGAAGGAAAGATATGCATTGTATTCATTTTGAGGTGACATCAAGACACCAAGTAATAATATTCAGATGCCAGTTATGAGTCAGGAACTAGGAAGGAAGTTGAGGCTGAAGATAGAGATATGAAAAGTCTTTCATTTGGCTAAAGAATGAGGGATACAATATAGTAGCAGAACAGACAACCACACTTGAGCAAACACACATTTAAGATGAAGAGGGAAAAGATGAAGAATATTAAATAGTTACAATTGTAGGGAGAAATCTAGTGCATTGCAAGACTTAATCATCTTGTGAACGAGAACCGTGTTTGGCAGACCAAAAATCACATTTTATTGAATCTAACTGGCTCCACCAATTGTAAGAAGCACCAGTATTTTATGTACCACTAAGAAAGAAAAAAAGTTACCACTTAAACTAGTTGTGATTATAAAACATATGAATTTCAGAAATATTAGTGTGAAAAATATACAACTTCAAATGATGAAAGTTGGTACCAATCTATCCTTTCTGGCACAGTATTAATGAAGCTAGTGCTTAAAATATTCGTTGAATAAAGAATAGAGGGGGTTTCAAAGCACCTAATTCATAGCTGAACTGTCCCACCTCTGTATCTACATACCTACTCCTGCTCTTTCCTTTCAGTAGGTACTATCACCTCTGAATGTCCAGTGCCTATCCATAACACATACTCAGGAAATGCATTTTGAATGAGGTCATTAGGATAAGTCCTAATCCAATGTGACTAGTAACCTTCTAAGAAGAGGAAATTTGTACACAGACATGCCCACGCCCAGAGGAAAGACCATATGAAGAAACAGAGAAGAGCTGCCTACAAGCCAAGGAAAGAGGGCTCAGAAGAACCCAATCCTGTCAATGCCTTGACCTCAGACTTCTAACCTCCAGATGTGAGAGAATATAAATTTCTGTTGTTTAAGCCACCCGGGTGTTTTGTATGGCAGCCCTAACAAATACATACCTTATCAAAAGATATGTACTTATTATTAATAAATACTTAATGTGCTAGTAAAGCTTCCTCACATAAATTCTACTTTTATGGTAGTTTCTAGTCCCTTCCCTAGATCGTTTGTACCCACTAAGAGAACAAGTCTTTCTCTATATCAGGCCCAGGGCTTCCCTGATTCTAGATGAAAACCATTCATCTGATTATAGCTGTTTGAAATAGAATCCCTTTTCCTGTCTGTATATCTTCATCAATTGATCCTTGTATGTCATCTTCCATTCTTCTGAAATCGCCCAAGTTTCATCATAACCTTGCCCCGTCCAGGGACTAAATCTACCCTTTAAGTAGCATAGAGTTAGAGTTAATCTCAACATTTCTAAGTTTCAATATAACCATTGGCAAAACAGTAGTTACTCGTATATGCTAAAGTCTTTCATAGCCAATTTATTTGATCCTCACAATAGCGCTGAGAGAATGAATGGTGGAACAGGTATTATTATCCCCTTCTGACATACAACAAAATCTGAGAGCAATGTTTTCCAAAGTATGTTCCACAGAACTTTCATTCAATGAAATAACTATTGAAAAAAAAAGAAAGAAAAAAGTATGAGGACAATCTCTAAATGCAGAGAAAAGTTTGAAATCAATGTATTCCACAAGTCAAAAAAGGATTTCTTAATTCCTGTCTCCTCAGAGACTTTTATGTGTTATGTACATCATGATATTCCAAGAGTATAGAGTCAACGCTCGAACAGCACAGGTTTGAACTGCATGGGTCCACTTATACGTGGATTTTTCTTTTCCAGTAAATACCTGTATTCTTTTCGATATGCAGTTGGGAGTCTGTGGACACAACGACCTAACTGTATGCTTTGATCTATGCCATTTTTCATAGGAGGCTTGAGCATCCTGGGATTTTGGTATCTATGAGGGTGGAGAGTCCTGGAACCAATTCTATGTGAATACCAAGGGATAACTAAGTTTTGGGGGAGTTAAAAAGTTATTGCAGATTTTAACTGTCAGAAGTCAGGAGTTAGGTGCCCCTACCCCCAAAGTTGTTCAAGGATCAACTATATAGAATTTTCGGGCTTATTTAACCATGGAATCTTATCCCCACAACCTACCTCACCTCCCACTTGCCATTCTATGGAGTAGTCATGAAACACTGTTGGAAATGCTGGTTTGAAACATTGTGTAATTTCCCTAAGAGATACAGCAAATAAATGTCAGGGCTATGATTAAACACAGATTTTAGTTAACTTTCATTCATTTTTAGGTCTTTTTAAAAATCTCAGAAGTGCAGAAATTGCACACAAAAAAAGGACAAAACATTTACATGACTATTGTTAGTATGACTGAATTTTGAAAATTAAGTTAATTATAAAATAAAATTAAATGGAAAAAATAAATCCCTACAAATCAGAAATAAAGTGAAACAAAAGAACTGAAGTGTGTATCCAGTTAGTGGCTCAATACACAAAAAATAACTGTTCCAAGAGGATTTAAAATAGGAATTTGATGGTAAATCCCTAATAGGATATACCCTAAGAAAAAAGATCTGTTTAAAAAAATAAAGAAAGTAATTGTTAGGATAAGGTTGTTCATACTTGGATTAGTTCTGTTGTTCTAAGACTACACTGTGTGTAGAGTGGAATAAAGAAATTGAAGATTTATGTGATATTCAAATCTATCATCCCTGGTGTTTTGGTACCAGAATTCTTGGTATGGGAAATATGAGTAAGGGTATAAGACTGAAGTTAACTATCAGTATGAACTCATTTTTTATTTTATCGAATTATTGTAAGGAAGACAGAAGTCGAGAAAGAGGGGGTGGGGAAGAGAAGAAGGAAAAAAGGAAGGGAGAGAGGGAGGGAATAGAAAGAAAATGTATTTCCTAGCTCTTTTTGCTGAAGGAACTAAAAACAAAGACCAACTTAACAATCAGCATCTGTAGTACACAGACTGTGGTCTTGAAATACTATTCCTATTAAAAGGAACTGGGGATTTTTGTAGAAATAGCTAATTACAGGTTGGAAAACAAATGTACAAAAATAAATCTAGAGCATTTTTTCATACCAGATATGAAAGAAACTATCAAGGACCACTAAGGTCAATGTCAAAAAGACTCAGGAGCCAACTTGAAGAGACTCCACTGACCATAGATGGGACACATTGAGTAGCGTCAGGAAGCATAAGAACTACAATGGATTGAAACACATCAAATGTGAATTGACTGCTGAATTGTCTGTTGAATTCTTGAGCTCATAATGATACTTTAAAAAAAGAAAAGGTCACCAGGGGAGGAAGCTAG